CCTATATTGCATGAGCTAAGTATATCTCTAAGGTGGAGGGGGCTTATCAATACATATTTCCTCTAATAGAGCTTTTTTTTTATTTCAAGAGTCAAATCTCTTTCAATTAGCTCTGTTCTTATTGCTTGGCAGGGCCATTGATTTTTTAAAAAGTATTTAAAATATTTTTCCCAGAATTTATATATTTTCAGAATATCTGTCATGCATTTGTATAAGCCAGTTAGCTTTTAGATTCCATGACCAAAATACCTGACAGGAACAACTTTGAGGAGGGAAAGTTTATTTTGGACTCATGGTTTCAGAGATTTAGTTCATGGTTGTCCAACTGCATTGCTCTGGGCCTGAAGTGAGGCAGATAATTATGGCAGAAGGGCCTACTAGAGGGAAAGTTTCATCTCATGGCAGGAAGGAAGCAGAGAGCAAAAGAGAGGAGAAAAAAGCATGGACAGATATAGTCCAGGCTATGCCCACAGTGTCCTATTTTCTCCAGCCCTGCCCCACCTGCCTACAGTTAATACAGTAGTCTGTTCAATTTATTAATCTATCAAGTGCATTAATCCACTGATGAGGGTACAGCTTGCATAATCTAATCATTTCACCTTCTGAGCACTCTTGCATTGCCTGTCACATGAGATCTTTGGGAGAACTTTTAAGATCCAAACCATAACACCAATCCCATTATTCTCCGTTTATTTTTTGGAGTGGCATGTAGAGGCTATATCGCTAGTGACTAGATAATTATTTCTACTGAAAAGTATTTAATATGTATATATTTAAACTCAGTCATAATGTTAAAACATTTAGATTACCTGAGTTTTCTCTGTTTTATACATTAATAACATTGAAGAGAGAAAGTTAAAGTATTACCTTTTCTTTAAATTGCCTTCCCTTTCTTAATTAGTTGTACAAACTGAATTAATTTCTTAACCGGAGGGAAACCTACAATCTTACCCTTCTGAGATTTTCTAAAATAAATTTGAATAAGAAAGAAATACAGGTATACCCAAAAGGATTTAACTGATACATATATACACATACAATAATATATATGTATATAATAATATATATAATATATATATACACACACATACATACATATTTATTTCTCTTACAGTATTTATAAATATGCCATTAATTGTTTCCCTAAAAACTATATATGAAGCATGTTTAAATGCAATAGTTCACTGTGAGTGCCCCTAGATAAGTAAGAAACTTATTTTTTGTGTCTCTCTACTATATATATATTATATATATATGCTTAATATATATATAGTTTTATAGTAACATAAATTAATAAAGTCAATTTATGTATGTGTATATATATATGTATATATAATGGATTTATTCAATATAATTATTATAACTTGAAGATAAGTAAGATTACCGAACAACTATATTTGCATTTCATGTTTTATTTTTATATACTTTGGAAATAAGTATATTTCTTAAGGAAGGGAATTTTAATCTTTTCCTCATGACTGTTTGATTCCCAATACATTGGAGTGCTATGACTCTTGAAGGCAAGGAAAAAATAACAAATATAAGATATAACCAATCCCATGTCATGACTATCAAAGTTATATGCTGAACAGTTTTATAGTAACATAAACTAATAAAGTGAATTTAGATTATTTTAAATCAAAAAGTTTTCATTAGCTTTTCAATCATTTACAATAGACAGTGTCTCCAAATGAATAATGAGTATTTTTAAAAATTTTTAAGAGTACCATAGAAAGATTCAGATTTTCCTATGAAATTAAAAATACCTAGTAAATTATTTTACTATCTTCTCTTCCGATAATTAGAATATGTTGTGACTGAGGGGTAATGATAGAAGGTAGAATTATAGTAATTGAGGAGATGCATGTGCACACACACATACATACACAAGCAGAGTTCAGCCCCCAAAAGTCTATTTGTCTGAAGAGATTTATTTCTTTTTAATATCTACTGTTGTAGTGAGAAACCTCCTAATTGTTTCTTTAATTATCACTCCATATCTACCTTCACATCTTGTCTGATAACATTATCTACACAACTGTTATTCCTAGTTGAATAGTGATGGCTAATCTCCTTTCTGTTTCAATTTATGCTCTCCTTATTGCTAATTCAGTACTGGAAACAGCATTGAAGTGACTCAAGCTCTCTCTCATTTCCCCTTTGCTTTAATTAAATTGCATATTGTCATTTGATGTAATTTCTGGTTCCTCATTTTACATTTGTCCTATGCCAGACTAAATGTACTGTTTTATCTCTTCCCTCTCAGTTTTCTTCATTTCAAAAGATGCCATAAGGAGACCATTAATTAAAATATTGAAAAATATAATGTATGACCTAATGCAAGCTTAAAATCAGTGTTATTCTTTTTCTACAGTTTTCCATGGGAAAGTGACTTTATATGAAAGTGTCCATAAGCCCATATCATTCGTAAAACTTACAGGCACAAAAATGCAACACCATTTGTTCACATACATAACTATCAAACAATATGTCATGTAAAAATTTTACATTGATTTACAGTTTTCGGGAGTCTTGATTAGTAATATATCTATTGTCTCTCTAATCATTTGGCCTTTTCACGCTTACATTACATAGTTGGTAATAATATGTGGAACAGCTGCAGACTTTCACAGTAATAGGTACAATCGAATCTGATGTGTCTAATTAATTTTTAGTCCAACAAATTAGTTTTGTTCTTCATTACTCTCCAATGGGAGGGAGACATTATATTTCATTATATTTTTTGTCTGCAGGAACAATGGAGTGTTACAGGTCACACACATCCTTGTCTGTGCTCTAATTAGTCCAACTGATAACATTATTTCAAAAATGCAAGGAACATTAAAAAATAGTAACACACCTTGGCAAAATAAGTATTGTACCATACTAAATAATATTCTGTTGACTCTTTATAAAAATGAAGGGAAATTTTTCTTTTCTTTTTGCACTAGAAGGTATTTATTTTCTTTTAGGTAACTGTTAATAGTTAAGAAAATCAACAAATCTAGTACTGAAAATGCAAACTATTTTAAGTAAAGTTTTGGTTGTGTTTATATGTATGATTATGGGTAAACTTATTGGAGGAAAAAGTAGACTTACTACCTAAGTGAGTCTGGTTTTAAAACTGGAAATTAATACAAAATAACTTTTGGGAATGAAATATAAGTATGTATAAGGAAATATAAGCAGCTTAACAATAAGCCTTCATTTTGATTGTATTCACAAAATAAAAGGTCTTTATACCCCTACTTATAGTCTAGGGTAAGACAGGTCATCAGAATGGAAAATAGGGTTTCAGGGTCCCATATAGTGTTCCAGGAACCTTGTATCCCTCCAAACTTAGCCCTATTATCTCTTAGAGATTCAGCATCCTCCAATAGACCTTTTGTCTCTGTCTAACATGGAAGGAAACATAAAGAGTGTCAAGTATTGTTACAGAAAGTAATGGGTTAGGGCCCAAGGTGTTGTGCATCATTTGTGCCTACACACTATTACTTAACATTCAGTCACTTTGTTGTACTCAACTCCATGTGAGTCTGGGAGATATAAGTTAATTTTCTGCCCCAGGAGAAAGGAGGAAGAGTGTGGTAAACTAGTCATTTACAGTTTGACTTGTATTTCATTCCCCAAAGTTATTTGTACTAAAAGTAGTAAATCTACTTTTTCAACTCTAGATAATTAACGATGCCATGAATTTAACAGAAATGCTCTTAAAGTAAAACTCTTACCATTATGTGAGTCATAATTTTCAGTGAAAAAGATACTGTGCATCTATTAACCTCTTTATATCTATCATCTCCTTGAATCTTCCCCAAATGAATGAAGTAGACAATGTTGTTGCCAACTAACTCAAACAGGGACTTAAGATTAGTTATCTTACAAAAGTTCATTGCTTACCTAGCTAGTTAAGTGACAGAGATGGTACGCCAATCCAGGACTTCAAGGACCATGCTCTTTATAATAGTTACATTGCCATAAGGTAATGACAGTCCTACACATTCTTTTCATATAATACACTGAAATGTGCCATATATTTTGCTTGCAATTCAATTTTTGAAGGTCTTTGATTAGATACTCACTAGATGTGATATTTACTTTACAAATCACTTAATTCCCAAGGTCTGAATTTCTTTATTTGTTAAATAAGTATCTGAATGTTCACTCTCTCATGATGTTTTGATTCCATGAGTTTAAAACGTATTAAAAATATAGATTGAAATTTTCTTAATTTTTTTGAGAGATCTAAATTTTCAAAACATGACCACCTCCAGAATAATCTTTGTCTAGATTTACATGTATGTTTTAGTTATGAAGATCTTAAAATTATTTTAAAGATGGTTCTCATATTTGATATTTAATCATATTGTTAAATTAGTCAAATACATGAGATTTACCTTTTCATTAGGTTTTAATTATACATGCTGATCTCTACAAAAAGACATTTTTATGATTATAATGATTTTATATAGCAGTTTTTCTTTGAGAAAGTTAAAGCATAGTTGTACAAAAGGAAAGGGTAACATGAAATTATATAGTTTTGTGTATCAGGAATATTTGAATATAAACAGATCCATGGCCAAAAATCAATTGGTAAATACCTGTGTTAAATGCTGTAGTTGCTTCCTTTTCTGAGAACTATTTTTAAAAATATTTTGCTTAGCTCAAGAAAAATTACTATTGTTTAAGTTCCCAATACTTGTTTGAGTCCTTATTTATAAGGATATAGATCAAGAAGTGGTTCAGAATTTTAGCAAACCAAAAGAAAAAAAAAAAGAGAGAGAGAGCAATATTCTTAGTCATGCTTTTAAGGACATGTAAGGACATGTCTCAATTCTTCTTTTTAAACATGCAACATATGAATGTTGATGATTGTCACAATTGCAGGACAGAACAAATACTACTTGAGCTTACAGGGATTTTCTGTGCCTTTGATGCACCCCATATGTAGTCTGCATTTCTTTTTGTCTTCATATTTACTAACACTGTTGTTTCTTCTATAGGAGGAAGGAATGAAGTTGTCATTACTGAAAACAATAACAGCATAACTGAACAAATCACTGATGTTGTGAAGCAACCAGCTTTTATAGCTGGTATTGGTGGTGCCTGCTGGGTAATTTTGATGGGCTTTAGCATCTGGTTGTATTGGCGAAGAAAGAAGAGAAAGGGCCTCAGTAATTATGCTGGTAAGAGACTATTTACAGTTAAGAAAACCTCTTATCTTTAGGAATGTAATGAAAAGAAAGAAAAAAAAAAGTATATGAAAGAACAAATGAATGATTTGGGCTTGTTTTAAAATCCTGCTCTGTAAAATGCAATGATAAACAACCTACTTTCACATACTACTCTTGACCATGTAACTTTATGACTTTAGGCAATCTTTTTGCTTGTATCTCCAGTGAAGCATAACGAGAGTGCACAGTGATAAAATGTTCAGCTGCTTTTCTCAACTAGTTCTTCAAAACCACACGCAAATACTTTGAAGACTGTGAAGCCATTCTTTGAAAAATCTGTTTAGGCAACAGCATTACTAAAACACGAAAGGAAAATAAAGGAGAGATTTGGAACCTATCTTGTAGTATGTCAGGATGCAGATTGCAATAGGAAATGTCCCAGAAGGAAAATACAAACAAGCAAAAATCTCACCAATATTAATAAAACTGATGAGGCATGAATGGAGTGATTTACTCCTCACTTAAATGGGGTGTCTATTCAGTGTGAACTGCAGCCTTTTAGAAGCAAAAAAAAAAAAAAAATAGGAGAGAGGAGCAAAAGGAAAAGGGAAAGAAACAGATCAGCAGACCAAAATAAAACAAAAAACTTGGATGTTCTATTTTTTAAAAAATAAATTGTTTTTGAATCCTAGACAGAGTTTCAAGGACATTAAATATTGTGACCTTCAAATTATCTCCAAAAGGAGGGAGGGATAGAGCAGGTGAGAGAGAGAAAGAGATAAAATCATAAAGTGAGTAAATGAGAGAAGATATTCAATGCTGATATTATGTTCAATTACATTTTGATCATAATTTACATTAAATATTATCTCTAACAGCAACAATTTATCCGAAACTGACAATATTTCATACTTTCTAGAATTTGTAAGCGGACCTGTTTAAAATAATATCATCCTACAGACATTTAAACAGTTTCTGAGACATTATATTCAGTCTTCCATTTTTAATAATCAGCAAAGGCTCTGTCAAAATAAATTATTATTAAGACATTTGTTTTTTAACAAAACATTAAAAATAGAAGATTTAATTATAATCAAATACAATATGTGCATAGTGGAAAATGTACGACATACCACCCATTCAGTTGTATTGCATGTTATTTGACAGCATTAAACATAATAATCTAGTTGTGACATTGTGACTTATCTCTGCATCTTGTGAAGATTAAATTTATTAGTTATTGGTCAAAATAAATTCCAGGAGTAGAGAAAGGAGTATGGCGTATCCATTGAGAAAAGGTTTCCATGTGGTTGACATTCTGACATTCTCAGTTCTCAGTGGTTCGTGGCTCCCCAATTCCTTATGTTCTATCATCCAAGTGTTAAACCACTGCACCAATTAGAGATTCTTCCCAGAGAGGTGTGCTCAGAACCAACTGCTGAGTATAGAGTCTTAAACATTATAAAAACTTTCATATACTTTCTTGTTTTGCATTCTAGCCCTTTGCCTTCACCCATGAATGTATCAGCCCTTTCTTTAATCAGTCACTATGTAATATTTTATCTCTGTGAGACACACATATAAATGATTTTTTAAAATAAGGAAGAATTGATTTAATTCAAGGACAATTTTGTGTTTATCCCTTCACTTGACTTTAGAGATAATAAAAGATGAACTATGCAAGTCACTTCAGTGCAGAGTTCTAATATATCCATATTTGGAATGGTGCATTTTTAAACTTCATACTTCTTCATTCATTCACTACTTACAAATGAAATAGCTCTCATAGTTGGTAGGTTTGCACTTTTAGTACAATCACATTAAGCTGACTTTCTTCTTCTTCTACTACTTCTTTTTTTTTAATAGCCATTCTTTGCAAAACCTATGCACTTAATTTGAAAATATCTGTTGGTCTTTGAGCTTGACAAGAATAGTACATTTCCCATTATCATTTCTCATTGTGATTGATATCCATCTGCTTGTAGAAAACTGCTAACTCGGAATGTGCTATGCCCTTCAAATATTTTGGAAGAAGGCCAAGCCAGAGAAAAGCCTTTCAAAACTTTTATACTTAATTGATAGATGGCTTACTCTCAGAATGGATTTCCCTTCAGCTAGTAATTTGCCTTCTAGCAACTGCTGCTCCAGATGAGAAGCAAATGAAAATTTGCCAAACCACAGATACCTAGCATTACATCTCTGATTTGTGATATTTTCTACATATTTTCCTCCAAAAATTACCTGTCTTCCACCTTTTTAAGTTTTCACATTCTTGTCCTTTTATAACTTAAAGAACAAGGGATTTTGAATGAGTAATGGAATATATATATTTATCTTTTGTTTCTATTTTTGACATTTCATGTGTGAGCTAATAATCATACATGAAAGAGCAGAGAGATTTCATAAGGGCTTTTTAACTCGAAGGTCTTATAAAATTTAAAGTTTAAGAGTGGAGAGATTTCATAAGGGCTTTTTACCTCGAAGGTCTTATAAAAATTATTTTAAAAATTCTTGTGTTGGGCTTGTTTATATTTTGGTTTTCATATATATTTCTTAGTCTTACAATTTTATAGTATAAAAACTGAGGAAGGTAATCAGAAGGAAGGAAAGGAAAGGAATATCATAAAAATAGAGAAGAGAGCCAGAAGACTAGAGCAAGGGAATATGGAGAGAGGAGAGAGGTAAAGAAGATAGGTATGAGGGATTGGACCAGACCAAATTGTGAGTTGTGCATGTATAAATATATCACAATGAATTCCATTATTATGCAAAACTATAATATACCAATAGAAAAGTGAAAACTAAACCAAATAGAATTCAAGCAATGTGATTTGATATGTAAAACTTAGTCTGAAGTGTATATGTATTTTTTTCACTACCTAGTAATGTGTATGTAGTCTCAAATCTATGTCTACAGTCTCTAATTGTTGATTTATGATAAACCCCCTTTTCTTGTACAATCAGGTTCCACTTTGAGTCAATATTTAAATTACTTTATAGCACATTTACTTCAAACTTCAATTGTGATCATAATTAAATATTTGGTGGAATTTTCCTACACTAGAAAACGTATTTTTAATGCAGCTGGATTGACTGTAAAAAAACAGGCTAAATTTGTTTTCAAACCTCCCTTTTCCTACTTCTTTGTGTCTGTTTATCCACTAGAGGAAGGAAAAAGAAGATGTATAAATGCAGAATTGCTTTGCAAGGTGTGATCCAAACTCTGGGTAGGATGCCTTAACTAACTCTATGTAGGCCAAACATTACCCATTGACTCATAATATATATAGCTCCTCTGGAACTTGCCATTATTGCAGAAAAATATACTTGAAGACTTAGAAAAGAAACAACAACAACAACAAAAAAAACCTGCTCCTCACTATTAATACTTTCTTTTAGGTGTCAGAGGGTGTAACAGATGTATCAGAGAACAGTAATGGATTAAATTTTAGATTAAATATCAAGAATCAAATGTATATCTATATATTCATATCATCTGGGAGGAAAATCTGGCCTAAACATGTTTTGCCTCTTCACATAGGAGAAAGTAGAGGATCCTCTGAGACAATGTTACACATCAACTTATAATTTTATATCTGCATATTAATCATTTACTTAAACTCTTCAGATATAAACACACATCTCAGGTTTTGACCCATAGCAATAAGGGCAGCTGCAAGAACTAAAAGCATCTCTGTATATCATATCCTAAGTGAAATAATATTATACTTCTATAAGCAACATGAAGTGCCATCTACCTTAATTTTCACTGAGCACTAACAATCTCCATATCACTGCCAATGGGGTTCCTGTTTGCTGAACATATTCAGTCCTTAAACTATTATAAACAATAAAAAAAGAGTTGTAGAAATTTGATAGAAAACATTAGGTGGTTTTGAATTTGAAGTAAATATTTGATAATATCTGTAATAGTTTTTGTGAATAGAAAAAAGAACAATGTAAGTTAGGAAAAAAATCTATATAGCTTTGATAAGGTTCATATAAATATATCAGTATAAATGTATATAACTGTATTATAATCTTTATGATAAATGCACAGTACTTTTCAAACTTCGGCTATCCATTTTTCTATTTGTGATTATTGAAGTCATCAAATTTTAATGAAAGTAAATGTATTTTTCCAGAAGTATAAAGGGTATGTTATGTTTTGTGAATATTATCTCTGAGGATAACATTTTATGAAACTCAGTAAATATAAACAATTCGTGAGTGAGCAAATTTGAAAATGCTAAACATGTCACACATAGGTTTTATAACTGGTGGTGAAATAAGTTACTTGACAGTACTATCCAAAAGCAGCTAAAAGATTCGATGGAATTTTTATACTCTGATTATCTGGGGTGAGTTAATGCTTATCAAAAAGGATTAATATGCTTTCATATTTGCCAAATAAGCATATCAGGAAAGAGAATGAGAATTGGCTGCAACAATGGAGTTTCCATTTGGAGTAGGAAAATGTGACCTACTAGAGATAGGCACTCTGAAAGCTTCATTACCTCAAAATGCCAATTTACTACATAGTTACAGTTTCCTCCCAGTTCTGGCAGACATGTAGTATTAATCCTGTCAGATAGTAGTAGACTTACTTTGTATATGACATAGCTTTGAAAAATCCCACTGGTATGTGGGAGAAATTTCTGGAAACATTATTAGTATTCAGTTCATTTTTGGTCAAAACTTCTATATGTTATGCCTTGCAAGCTTTTAATTTGAGATTCCACACAGACTTCTGATTAAGAGCTTGTAATAATTAAGTTATTCCAAATTCATTTCTGATGAGCACAAAGTTACTGCACTGTGATTTCAAAATTATAAAAAATATAACAAGAAAAAGATTATTCACCATCGATCTATCACCCCCTCACCCCACTTTCTTTGACCTTCAAGTTAAACTTTTCTTATAAATGAGGACTACCTCAAAATAGCTTTTAGTATGCAATGGCATTTATTTTTATGTTACACATGCCCATACACACACACACACACACACACACACATACTCGCACGTTTATATACACACAAACATTCATCAAAATGCTATATATGATTTCCATTTTAGAAGTTTTAGTTGTTCATTCTAATTTGTAGTCTCCTTTGATGGCCTAATAGACTAAGTTACTCTTGTTCTACTTTTCAAAATGAAATTAATCTAAATATTTTGGAGCAAAACATTAAAAAAAGAAGTGTGAAAAGATGTCCCCTTTCCTCCCTCACTTTAAAAACACAGCTAACCAATGTTAGTAAGAGAAAAAATGTGTGTGTGTTCTCTTCCTCCTCCTACTCTACTTTCCTTCTTCCTCTTTTCCTCGTCTGCCTCCTTCTTCTGTGACAGAAAAATGCAAAATGAAAGATTCCTGTGTATACTAAATTTTATGGAGCCCATTTTAAGTTATTCAGGTATTCACATAATGTTCTGTGAAGTTTTGCCTATGTTAGCAGGCATGCAGAGATAGAGATGAATGACATTATAGAATATTTGACAAACTATTAGCAGTCTAGAATCATTTGAGAAACACGTGTTAATGACGACTAGGACACAAATAAAATGGATATGTCCTGAATACTGAATGTGAAATGCTTTGAAATTAATTATTTTGCTTCCAAATTTAGCTCTCAACTGGCAAATATGGACCATCCCATGTGGTCTATATTCTAGCACATCTGCAAATTAACCTTAATGAATGATATATTTTGATAGTATTTTGAATGTTATGTCATACTACTTTAAACTTCACATTTGATGAAAAAATGCTATTGGTTATCTCATAGAGTTAAGTACAACTCAATTTTTGTGACTCTCCTTCAGCTTCTTTTCTTTTCTCTGCTATACTTTATTCCTATGGCAGTAACAGAAATTTTGGATGAAGAAATAAAAGTCATCTAAATTAGGGAGAACTATGTAGCATCTCACATATCTCTTAAACAGCACATTTTTGAGATGCAGCCCATCAGAACCTGCTTATTTGCATATTTTCAATGATGTTCACAGCATTATCTTAACTCCCTTTTAGCAGAGTAAAACAATCACTTGATATTCCATTAAAACGCCACATAACTGAAAAGTCACATCAGATGGAAAGCTAATTAGCTGTACCACTTTCACATTGTGAAAATGCATTTTTACATGTGTGTGTGTCCTAATCAGGCCTTTATTGAATACCTCTAGTGCTCAATTTTTTTGCATTAATTGTTTCAGATTAATTCTATTGTGTTCAAAGCAATTAATAAGAGGCACTATGTGATACAGTTGCACTGCTGATTCATGACTCCCAGCCCTGAAGTGACTCTGTAGTGATCAGTATTTTTTCATCATCTCTGCGGAGCTGTCTACTGCCAATTCTGGGCAGATGTTAAGGTTATGTCAGGATTGCTTTACAATGCATTTGAGGTGTTACCTGAAAAAATGATAAGGTTGTATATTTCAGATCCCAGTTTGAAGGACCTTATTTATTTTACTGTCTTGAAATCCTGATGGACCTTTGGAATTATGTTCATATTGCCTGGTAGTGTCATGAAAAGTAATGTTACTAGATGACCTTTCATATGGGCTTAGGAAACTGGGCTTGGAAACTTACAAAATTTAAAGAGTTATCATATTTAACAGCTCAAACTTGAAAAGCAGAAGAATTATGGAGAACCATTCAAATGAAAAAGTATCCACCGTTTGTCTATCTTAAGTGGAAATATGCTTGTTTACTTGAAATATGAATTCCTTCATTAAAATTTTAGTTAATTTCACTTTTAGTCACCAAGCAACAACTTTTAATAGACATAATTATTATTCTATTCCAAAGATAAGATGTATTGTTTTCACAACTGTGAAAAATGGTATTTTTCTTTCGTCCCCAGGGATTGATTTAACTGACCCTTGCTTTTATGTTAGTTTTGTTTTGATTTGATTTTAGAATTCCAAGCTTATTGCAATTTTGTAATCTATAAGTTTCTTAACAAATACCTTGTCCATAATTTTCTAGTTAAGTAATTTAGTGGCAAAACTTGATACAAACTACTGTGAAGCTATTTTAGACTTTATAATCATTCATATTCAGTTTTCATTGCACAAATATTACATAAATTTGAGTGCAATTTGCTACTTCAAACATTATAGTATGAAAAGTATATTACCTTTCTCAGGTATGAATCATTTTGAAGTCCAAATACATTTGGCTTCAACAGTTTGGGATAAGGTGATGGCCCTCAACTGATATTTGCATTCTTTGGCTGTTCCTGGAAGTTCACTTGCTCCTTGTTAGCTTTGTGGAGTGGAAGACATTGACTGGAGGGAGTGGCTTCATTGACCTTGATTCTAGTAGATACTAGTGGACATTGTTAATAAGTCACACAGTTTTGTAGGAAACTTTAACATGTGATCATTACATATAATTGGAGTCTATTTAGTATAAATTGGTTAAAATTTTATTTTCATGAATGTTATTCTCTATTAGTTACAGTTTACATCTACTGTAATTATACCTATTCAGTTCATATTAACTATTAGCATACTTAAAAGAATCTATGATGATAAGCAATGTGTAATAACAGTTACCTGTTTTTCTTATCTTGTTGGAAGGACATTACCTGTTAAAACTCTCCTGTTTCAATTTCTAGTATATATTTTGCTTTATGCCTTCTAATTAAGACAGTTTTATGTTAATATTAGCAGTTTGATTTGATAACTCTTCATTAATGCTGTGTCAATCTTCCAGGACTACTAGGTCCACCACTTATAACAGTGTTTGATGTCTAAATCCAAATTGTCACTTTTACTTATCCATACTTTTGACTTGAAGAAACTTGAAATGTTCTATTAAAGTTGGAGCAAGTGATGACTTTGCCCTGAGCCAAACCACTGCTTTTTACTATCTGCACAATTATGTTAATTATATTTTGTTAAAATTCCCATAGGCTTAGTTCTAAACTGAGGTCCAATATGCAGTTGTTATTAATTGTAATTAATATTGACTACTTGTGTGTGTACATGTCTTTCTGTGTTTCTTTTTTTTTTTTTTACAGTTACATTTCAAAGAGGAGATGGAGGACTAATGAGCAATGGAAGGTATGTTAAGGAGATTCTTTATTAGTATTTTTAATCAGGACTAGAAAAACTCTGTAGTAAGAAGCTATTATTGTAATAAACGATCACTTATAAGTCTGAGAATTCTAGGAGGAATTAAATGGCTTACTACTAGGTTTAATGATCTATCTGTTGTGCACTTTAGAGGAATCAAGTCCAGATGTTTCATATCTCCCAGATGCCCCTGAAGAAATTAGTAGTAAATATCACAAGGAATGTGTTCATTTGTTAGCAGGATGTTTATTGCATTAATTAGACATTAGCAAATGAAGTTGCTGTTGTTTAAGACTCCTTATTGGCTCACACTAAATTGCTGTGCGTGAACAATTACATATAATCGATCACAAAGTAAATGATTCATGGATGATGAATAGGCTGTAGATTGATAGGACTGGATTCCACAACTTTGGATACTCAATTGAAATTGATAAAAGCTGATAACAAACCCATATATCCTCATCTATTTTCCCTTTGCCAATATGGAGATTGTAATTAGGCTCTGGTAATAACTTCCAATCTCCCATTTAATCAATATTTTAGCAAAAAGAGATTAAGTCTAATGAGAACTAGTGGATGTAGCAAGGAAGCAGTTGAATCTTCTTATTGCAGTTTCCATAGAAACACATGTTCCTCTTAGGTATTATACCAGAAGGGGTCTATCAACAACAACAACAAAAAAGTACAATGATTATAGATGCTCTATTTCTTTGTAAATATGTTAATAACCTGGAAAGGAATCAGAATCCCATTTTAACATTAAAGAAGGAAATTCTTTATTAAATACGATGTGAGGGGAATTTTCCTTGTAGACTATACTCAAATGCTGGAGAAGATCACAGGGTGTCTTTTATTGCCTTCAGAAAAACACTTAATAGCCCCCTGATATTTTGCCATTTAAAGAACTTGGAAATGTGCTATTGATGGAACAGTATAAGTACTGTTCATTAATTTCTTTCAAGTTCTTTGCCTCTAAATCAAACATGAAGGCTCACAATAAGGGTGACAGGCTAGAGAGGACAGATTCATGTTGGGACTGCAGTTACTGGGAACAAAATAACCCAAAGTCCTGGAAATGGCTAATACCAAGAAGCCATTCCGAAAGATTGTTCCCTTGAGGTGTCAATTTATCATCAAACCTTGTGTGGGGTTACTACTATTGCCAATTCCCACCAGTTTCAGGGCAGACATCTGATTTCTTGTGGATTTTGACAGGATCCCAGGAAAAGACACTTCTTCCACTGACAGGGTTGATCTATAGATAGTCTTAATGAACTGCCAAAGTTCCTTAATTTTTTAGAGCCTACACATTTTAATTCTAAATTCAATTAAAATATTCTTAAATTCCTTAACCCTTTTTAGTGCATGAGACAGGCATCAAAATCTTTCATTGAGCTCCATAGACTGATTTCCTTTTCATTTCTGTCTTAGCCGTCCAGGTCTTCTAAATGCGGGTGATCCCAGCTATCCATGGCTTGCTGATTCATGGCCAGCCACAAGCTTGCCAGTGAACAATAGCAATAGTGGCCCAAATGAAATTGGGAATTTTGGGCGTGGAGGTAAGTTGTGTTTTTCGAAATAATGTTATTTTTAATTTTGTTTTTGTTTCTGTTTTCATTTTCCAGATATTTTTAAGAGATAGAGGGTATTTCTTCCATAGTTAAAAGAATAAAGCACATATACTAACATTGCTGTATATTTCCTAAATATTTTATTATAAAATTAGTGTGTCCATAATACCTTAAATAATAAAGTAGAGGAGGTCATTATTAATGTGGAAGTATTAATTTTTTTTGTATTGGTTGTTCAAAGCATTACAAAGCTCATGATATATCATCTTTCATACATTTGACTCAATTGGGTTATGAACTCCCTTTTTTACCCCAAATACAAATTGCAGAATCACATCGGTTACACACTCACATTTTTACATAATGGCATATTAGTGGGAAGTATTCATAATACATTTTGTTTTTAGGAATATCAGTAGACAGTAACTAAAATCAGGAAGTATACTGATAATTAGGGTTTATGCTTTTGGAACAAATACTTCATTTTTCAAAATCTCATTCAACATGTATTTATTGAGTACCTCCTATGTACCTGGCACTATGGCAGTCAGAAAGAATATAATATTGGTATAAAAAGTGATCATCCTTACCCCCATAATATTTCATGTGAAGAAGACAGTTAACTAGTTGGGGTGGCATGTTCAGAGAGAACTTTCTATTCTACAATCATTAATTGCTATTCCAAAGCAAAGATAAAACAGTGCAAGTGGCTGACATGCTAATACCTCCAAAATTTCATGCTAAACTACCCTCCATAGGTTTTTCTAAAGAGACAGAATTGTATCTAATATAAATAATGACTGCTTCCTCCCAAATGCACTTTTTCTTCTGGTCAATTGGATAGGTTAGTTTAGATAAAGATGAGAGGAGTAGAGAATTCCCTGATTGGCTCAGCAATTATATATAAGTTTTCTCCTGGTACAATACTATGCAGACAGTAAATGGACTTGAACTGCCTTATCCGTACCCTGATAAGGCTGAAATAAAGGCTGCCCAACTGGAGTAAGAAAATGTTGTAAAAGGAATGTTATTTAAATTGATATCTGAAAGAGGGACAGGAATTAGCCAAAGTATAAGAAGGTGTGTGGAGATAAATTACTATATTTTAAGGACCAGAAATAAGAGAGACATTGGGCTGGGGTTGTGGTTCAATGGTAGAGCTTTTGCCTAGCACATGTGAGGCCATGGGTTCAAATCTCAGCACCACATAAAAATAACAAGATAATAAAGGTATTATTGTTGTCCATCTACAATGAAAAAAATTAAAAGACAAAATGGCAGACATTCAACCTATTTAAGAAATGAATAGGAGACTGTGGATGTAGCTTATTGGTAGAGGACTTCTCCAACATGACCAGGGGCCTAAGTTGATTACCCATCACTGAAAGGGAGGGTAGGTGAGGGGATAAGAAGGAAGGGAAAAGATGGAACTTCCTAACGGTTGAGTTCAAAGATGTTAGAAAGCACAAAAGACAAGAAAGAAAAGGTGTTCTAAGTCACATTAAGAGTTTAAACTTTGTCCATAGGGTAATCAGAAATTATTGGTGGATTTTTAAGAGGAGAATGCTGAGATGTAAACACTGTTTTAAATCATTCAGGCTTCTTCTGGGTGGAGAATAGAAAAAGTAGAAAATTGGAGTGAGGAATTAGGAGATTCTTGTAAAGCAAAGCAAATTTAGATAGACATACTAGAAGATTTCCAAACTTGGAGAATTAATTCGGAAGACCCAGGGCTGTGCTAAACTGTTCCAGTTCTACTAAAAGCTGCAGTGGATTTCACATGTATGACTATATAACCATATTCACTTAAGAAGAAGGGCTGGGCCTGTGGCTCAGTGGTAGAGTGCTCACTTAGTATGGGTGAGACACAGGGTTCAATCCTCAGCACCACATAAAAACCAATAAATAAAAATAAAGGCATTGTGTCCACCTACAACTAAAAAAATTATTTTAAAAATTTGGAGTAATCATGGATCGTTGCATTTTTTCTTCAAGATGGATTAACAATCTATTTGCATATAAAGTAATACCTCAAATTATAAAGTTACTAAGTATTTCATAAGCCTGATTTCTATGAATATCATTTCAATTAACTCCTTTTCCTTCTTGAAAATAAAATATAAAGATAAACATCCCTACCTCATAGGTGTGTAATTAGAATTAAATGGATGACAATATATAGTTTTCACACAAAGCTTAACTGCATAATCAACTCCCAAAAGGTATCAAATTAAATGAGAGAATACAAAGAAAGCTGTAAGTTTCTTTGGCTTCCTGCTTTCTCTCTGTATGCCTTTACTCTCCCCTGGGAAGTTTGTATGTCTGAGTATTCCCCACCAAGGAAACAGATCATCTTTCCCCTAATATGCAGACTGATTTTTGCCTAAAGGAATTCTGTTCCCAAAGTTTTTATCAGTCAATAATAGCTTCCTATTTTACACTATGTATTAGAACATCACAATGTTCTATCTTTGTATCAAGAGATACATGCCTCAGATGGAGAAAACATTTTCTTTTTCTGTTGGCTAGCAAGTTAAATTAACATCCAAAATGTCTTAGTCCAATTTAGCTGAAGGTAGAATGCAAGGTTTTTCTTCCATTTCTACCTTATTTTTATGGCATGAACATCAAGACCAAGACAAAGTTTTTCCAGTTTCTACCCACTCTCTCTTCAATTTGATAGTCATTTAAACACTTGTGCCAGAAATACTGTAGGACATTTTTGTATATTTAAATTTACGTCTTTTGCATAATTATAAAATACATAAACATATTTACATGTTTAAAGTCAAGAGACTAGAGTTAAGCAAGATAATTTGAGAAGTGGATATAGAATGCACGTCTGGTAGATTTTTAATGCCTCTGCTATTTTATTTATACTGCTGTGTAGTCTGAAGTTGGGTTCATATGTATGATTTTATAACCACATTCACTTAGAAAAATAATCATGGATACTGACATTTTCCCTTTACAAATAGAATACCAATGTATGAATGTAATGAAAATCATATTTTGAAAAATTAAAATATTAATTATCTCATAATTTTGCATTTTACCAATGTAAACTATGAGAAATTCATTTAAACATTCCATCAGCAAGTGCTTACTCTCATAACAGTGGGTGAGGAATTATGGTAATGAAGGCATATATCCAATAGGCTCCTGTTCTCAAGTAACTTATGATGCTGTGAGGAAGGCAGTCCTTCATACAAAAATTTACATTGGGCAAAAATAAAATAAATCCATGAATACAAATAAAGCCAAGGTACTCAAAAGCTGCACCACTAATCCAAACTGGAGTCAAGGTTTCTCGAATTCATAGGTTTCCAAAACAAATGTTAACAAGTGCCAGTCAGACAGCATTAAGGATGGGTTGGTGGGGACAGCAAGAAATACTAAATGGATAGTCCTTCCTAATGATGGCAGCACTTATTCAGAGCCTGCTTGTTGAATGGAGGGCTGGTCCAGAGTTCCAGAGTATTTGATGTTATAAGATTCTCCTCCACATACAGATATTCATGTGTGATCCTCCAATATTTCAATGTTGGATATAATTTAATTTAGTTTTTGAAAATGTGGGAGTGATCAAATAATATTTGAAGACAATATATGCAGCCCAAAAATCAATATAGAAGCACTTAGGCTGGAAGGCTGACTATAATTTCATCTAGCAGGGAAAGAGAGATACTCTATTTCCAGAGCCATAACTTTAGTGTTTAGTTGTTAGTAATATTATGTAGAATTATATTCTTGGACAACATTGTTCCGTTTTTTTGTTGTTTGAGCACAGAACCCTTTCAATAACATGTAACTGAAGGGACTCTGGAGAACCTTAAGTTCAAGATATGAGAAACTGAGGTCCATGGAGGAGAAACATTTCTATTCAATTAATATTCAAATATTCGGCAGTGAGAAATAGGTGGAGGGAGCCCAAAAACTTAAGCAAAAAAAAAGATCTGGGTTTTTTTTTTTTTGCCATTTTTTGATATAGTATTAAATATTCAAGGTTTTGAGAATAAAAAAATATACTAATACTTGAGAATGAACAATGCTTCTTAAAATCAGATTCTATAATTATTAATCACAAAAAAGAATGACAGAAAAGCAATTTTGGTATTCTGAAATCCAAAAAAACAATTTCTTGCTTATGCAACCTAGCATAATTTAAAATGTGAATATGTGTAACAGTCTCACTGAGATGCCTTTAAAATCTTTACTTCAATAAACATCCACATATTTGTAAAACAGGTTGTTATTCCAGACTTTCAAAACTTCAGAAAGAGTGAAATTGCACACTGTTCACAATATTTTATAAATTTCTTGTCACTGTTGTTAATGAAGATTTTTTTTTTAGTTTTTATAAATTCCAAAGAAAAACTAATACTTCTGTAAGAACTTTTATTTCAAGTACTGTGGGCATCATCAAATCTAAAAGTTTTAAAGACAGTCGAAATGTCTTATAATGAAGAGATCAAGTGGTTTCATGACCTCAAGTCCTATGAAGTGATATTTTCAGAACATACATTATTAAGGACTGCACTATAATTAGATTTATCTTAACTGTACATGATTAATACTAGTGTTAGTGATTTCTCTTTTAGATTCACTTAGTGTCTTTCTTCTGAAAAGGGAAAGGAGCTCAGGAGCGAGGTGGCAGATCTGAATTATAAAGCATCCTGTAAAGATAATTCAGCATACCAAAATGATAAATGGACTGATTGATATTCAGTGTTGTTCCTGAAGTTTAATTTTACTCTTGCTGTATTACAACGTGAAACTGTAATTCTCCACTTCTAAGTGTTGATAGCATAAATTAAACTCACTGATCACTAAGGTTGCTTTTTCTATAGTTAAATCCTGCTATATTATGGAAATGACTTATTCATGAAAATTTTCCTTTGTTATCCAAGAAAAAAAGAACACATTTTCTACCATCAGTTCTCCATTTCTGCAGTTATAAAATCAGATCACATAAATGTCAAGTAAAAATTTCAGAAAAATGGATTTCAAAGTCAGAGTCGTATAATTTTGGAAATTTTTGCAACTATTTACCAGCCATATTCCATATCTTTGGGGATGAAGTGGAAAGAGCTGTTTTCAGGCACAATTTGTAGACTCCCTCTGTTCATTGCTGCTGTATCATGCTACCACTTTCCTTGACTCTAAAACTCAGTGAACAACTGAAAGCATTTTTCAGTAGTGAAATATCCCAAATTTCTCATTCCTGGTTGGAGGAAATGGGGGAAGGGATGTGTTAAGCAGTGAGACGTGAAGGACGAGCAGTAGGCCTGCCTGTCACTGAGGTTGATAGCTTGGCGATGGTTGTATATCATCTACCCTTCATTGGTTCATGAAGCCCATCTCAGCTGAAATGCAAACGTGTGGCATGACACATTTATTTTTCATCTTCAATCCTGATAGTTTTGGGCTTCCTGTGCGTCATTAAATTGTTTCATTTCCCTATGTTCATCACAGATGTGCTGCCACCAGTTCCAGGCCAAGGGGATAAAACAGCAACGATGCTCTCAGATGGAGCCATTTATAGCAGCATTGACTTCACTACCAAAACCACTTACAACAGTTCCAGCCAAATAACACAGGCTACCCCATATGCCACGACACAGATCTTGCATTCCAATAGCATCCATGAATTGGCTGTCGATCTGCCTGATCCACAGTGGAAAAGCTCAATTCAGCAAAAAACAGATCTGATGGGATTTGGTTATTCTCTGCCTGAACAGAACAAAGGTAACAATGGTGAGTCACATTCTTCTGTCCTGAGAAGTTAACTTCATATCATTTGTGCATGAGATAGAAATTAGTATTCGTTGTTCAATTCAGTGATGCATTCCCAGGTTTACTACCTAAACTAAAAAAAAAAACATACTGGCATGTATTCAGTACCTTGAACAATTCCTACCACCACCGCCACTGCCTCCACCGCCGCCACCACACACCAACACCAATCGGGTTCATCCTTTCAGCTCTTTTTCAATATAGTGATCAGCAATCCATCTGTACTTCCATTAGGACAGGCTAGACAAAACATTCCTCCACTCTCCCACGACATCCGCTTCTGAGTTGCTAACTGCATGTTCTGCATGGGCTTGTGCTGTGAACTAATCACATGATGCCACTATGACCTCTGCCCTTTAACCCTTAGCCTTACTTTACATCCCTGACTACCGATTGGCTGAGGGATTGTCTAATAGAATGCCACACAACCAGTCACAGGATTTCAGCACCACCAGCTCTCACAACAGCTCAGAAAGGAGTGGCAGTCTCTCAGGTTGGTCTCATCACAGTAAGGAGAAATATTTGTTTGTCACCAGCATATGACCTGTGTTCCCTAACAACTGATGAGGAAATATTGAATCGCAAGCCACTGTCAGGCATTTATCTTACAAATGACAATAACAGTTGATCCTGATGAAATTATGCTTTGGTGGGGGTGGGCAATAAAAATCATTGTCATCACTTATGTACTAACTGCACAATAATGTATTGAAAGAAAAATAGTGCCATTTTACTAATTACTATTCCTTAAAGAGTAGATGAGTTCATTCCATCTTTAACCAAATATATGAGTCCAAAGAACTTTATAATAAAAAGATCATGCATGAAAGTTAATTCCAGGTCATTGATATCAAAAGATAAATTCAACTGAAATGAAAATAATCTCGGAGATGATTTCATATTGGGATGCCAATGATATAACTTCCTATTTTAGGACAACCTCTCAAATATTATGTAATAGTTATCTATTCAATGATTACTATGCTAAATATGAATATTAATATGTAAAATTATTAATTTTTACTTCAAAAAATACAATATTTGATAACAATAACTATTATATGCTGTCACTTTTAATATATATTTGAGAAATATCAGCTAAACCAACAAGTGTAAGGAAAAATGTATTTTATTGGATAGAAATATATTCCTATCCTAATGAGTTATCCTCCCTTTGTATGTGAGGATATTGTATTAACCACATTGTAAATTCCACCTATTTACATCACATGCCTTTATCTGTCTACTTCTGACTGGTTCCTGACTCCACTTACTTAATATGCTTAATTATATGCTAATTGTTTTTATGGAATTTTTGTTTGGTTTTTTAAATTTACATATTAATAATAAAGGATTATAGTGTACTATGATACTGTGCAGTCTCCCAGGCATCAAGACTATGAAGAGTTAACTTTTTCTTATCATTAGGGTTACATTTACTAAATTACTTTTCCTCAGGAGATAGAACCTTCTCAGAATGAAAATGTTAATGCTGTCTCTTCCCTCCAAAATGAGTCATTTGCTCTTCTTGCCTATTGGTAGGATTAGGTACATTATAGAATTCAGAAAATTTTAAACATCTGTTATGAATTTAAACTGGCTTAATAATATAAGGGAATGTTTTAAATGACCTTCTATGTCATTTATGCTGGCATTTATTTATAATTAGTCCCACAATTTTTCTGAATAATTAAAAAGTAATTTTGTTGGATCTTCCTTTTTATTTCATTAAATATATGTAAAGATCAAGCAATATATGAAAAGAAATCTCCATATTGCAAGCCGTGGACTCCATAAGACCTGTGAATCTTTCATTAAATGTTCTGTATAGATTGATTGTCACCGAATTTAAAAGTTATCTTTTGAGTAATTGTAAGCAGAACAGGATTCACAATGGTGCTTGCTGCTTTTTGAATCCATTAATCTCTTGAGTGACATTTACATATATCCAGGAATTATATTAACTACTTCATCTACATTTGAATACAGGATTACTTGAATTGGTGATAGAAAGCATTTTTTAGTAGGTAAGAGTGAAGTGATTACTCCTTTTACAGTTTAGTCTAATTGAGTTTAATATTACACTTGTGTTTAATTCTTTTATTTATAGCTATGTTTCCTAGGGGCCAAATCTAAGAATTAACTGCCCCATGGCTAGCTAATCATATATTATGGGATTTTTTTAATCTGTGCACATTGGTGTAACCAATTTAAAATAATCACAGTGACAAAGAAAATTGGGCATTTCTGAATTATTTGAGTGAACTTCTTACCCTCTTTGAAACACTTTTATAATGCATTCAATATATAAGTTCTGAGTACTTCTTGTTAAAAATCCAACCAGTAAAAACTATACAATAAAACTCAGATGTTTTAAAATAGTATTTGAAATCATAGTTGTATGTGTATATAATATAAAATATTGGTAACAATAGCTAAATCTTTTAATGTAATATTTTTTAAAAATAGACCATATGTTTAATTTTAAAATGAATCACTTTTATGATTTATTTTTTACAGAGAAGTCATTTTTAAGCTTTAACTATCCAACTATTTACATTTTTATTTTAAGAGAAAAGGGTCAAATATGTTTACAAGGCATCAATATCTGCTCCGTTAAAACATAATTTAGGTACTCTGGCCTTCAGATGATTGAGGGTTCAAGGTGAAGCAGCAGACTGTGGCTTGCTTCTCTAAAGATTCAGATCTCAGAGATTTTAACAGTTGTCAGTTGTATCAAGCTCACCTCCATCTCAAAGTCCACCACTTAGTTCATTGTTAAAGACAAGACACACGTGTTGATGAATAATAGTCCTACCCAGACGGATCAAATGAGAGAACAGATATTTCTCCAGAACAGGGGAAAAATAAGTGTTGGTTATAAAGTCCTCAGTAATTCTCTCTGTGCTTCAGCTATTTCCAGAACACATTTTAAAGCCCGTTGTTGTTTGGAAGCATAATAATGAGTAGCTTTCTTGAACCCGAGCAAGGGCTTCAACAATGAGGTTCGGAGCTCTAGAAATAGTTTCAAGTTAAGCTGCTCAGTAGTAAATCTGATTGTTCTCTTGCTATGTGAAGGCGAATCACATAACACTCAGAGCCTTAGTGTCATCATCTAGAATACGGGAGGTATAGGAACTTCTTTCTTAGGCACTTGGTTCAGGTGAGATTCAAATGAAATTTCTAAAATGCTATAGAATGTGATTAGGATTGTGCATACATAAAGTTGAAAGGGAGTGGTCAGGAAGAACAAATAGCTCAACCATTCTTCTCTCAATCATTGAAATATAGTTCTGATACTATAAAAAGGAAATAGACCTTAGTCATTGGTGGGTTAAGGAAATGAGGAATTGAGGTTCATTTACCTTAAAGACAAAAATTACATACTTATAACCGAGCAAACTTATTATTATTTTTATTCTGAATATGAGGCCATTTCTGATAAGTAAGACTTCAGAAAACAAGTGAAACTGGGTTTGCTATGAGGAAGAGAAGACAGGAGAAAGCAATTATGATTGGCATTTATTGAGTTTTTCTGTGCATCTGAGCACTTCATATACAGTATCTCTTATAATCCTCATGACAACTCAAGGAAGTAGTAACTTTTGCATGCTTATAATCCCAACAACTCAGGAGGATCACAAATTTGAGGCCAGCCTCAGCAACTTACCAAGGCCTTGCACAACTCAGCAAGACCTTGTCACAAAATAAAAACTAAAAGGAATGGGGATGTGGCTCAATGGTAAAGCATTCCTGGGTTCAATCCCAAGTACCAAAGAAAAAAAATGGAGTAAGTTCATATTTCTTTTACATGTATATAAGTTAAGGCAATGCCTTTTGAGTGAGGAGTTAAATTTCAAACTCAGTAACCAAACTCTTACTCACTAAACAGAGGACACTTTCTTACCCTCCTCTTAATATCTTTTGTCTGTCAAAGAATAGAAGTGACAGGAAAGCTGAAAGCACTTTGTTTGTAGGGATCTTCTTTTAAATATTTATGTATCCTATGTGGAAAATGTACACAACTCAATAATTGGCTGTAGTGTCTAGTTTAAGAGTTTTATCACTTTCTGGCACTCAAATACATTATTACCAAATTGCATAATCTGACTCAGCAGTTGTAGAAGAAAGAAGATGGACTGACTTCTAGTGAGATCTAAATGGCTAGATAGCCCTGCTACAAATATCCTATGCTTAAAATTTAGCTATAAGTTGAGGTGGGATTATTGGAAGTTACTGAGTCACCCCTGAAAGGTCATTTTCATTTTGCTCAAGAAGTATTCATTCTGCATCCAACTGAGGTCCATTTTTATGAAAAAGCTTTATTTACTTGATTTTAAAAAGTACAGCACTATGCAGATGATGAATTTTTATTTTTATACTTCATTAAGCATCATGTAATCTCAGATATGGCTCATACACCCTTCATTTATGTTCTGCTCATATTTGTGCATGAATTCATTCATGTAACAAATAATACTGAAACTGATTACTATATTATCATTAATTTTCCCTCCTTTTTGGAATTTATGAAATGTGATAGTTAAAACATCTGGGAAATATTCTCACTATATGCAAAAGTAATTATGCCATTTATTAGTCAAAAAGTCTATGAAATGTATCATTGTGAGAGATTTACAGGTATTCTCCAGATTGTACTTGATCGATTTTTATCAGTGACTTTTGAGAGAAAAATGTTACTCTCCTGGATTAATTAAATTGAGCAAATTCTAATGGAAAAGTTAAGCCTGTATCCTTAGACACTGTATTTTCCACGGAGAGAGATTATGCAAAAGAGCATTTTAAATGCACTAAAATCTGACATTTAAAAGAATTTGTTATGGACCATTATTTCCTCTAACAATGAAAATGTGGAGGCAGCAGACATGAATAAATCAATAAATGTTCTTTTGATACAGCAGCCATGTTTTTGGTTTATTCAGCTCTGCAGTTAATGCAATGGGAAAGAAACAATATCATTTTGAGTGATTTATAAAAATGTGTTTCTGATTGTATCATTTCATTGTTTATAGCTTTTACCATCTCTAACATAGTGATTCTGGTATTTTGAAAACAAATACATCTTTCCACCTGATATTGCCTGTTTGTTCTGATATTCACCATCTCTGAATAAATGCATTATTATTTCCAGGTGGGAAAGGTGGAAAAAAGAAGAAAAATAAAAACTCCTCTAAACCACAGAAAAACAATGGATCGACCTGGGCCAATGTCCCTCTACCTCCTCCCCCAGTCCAGCCCCTTCCTGGCACAGAGCTGGAACACCATGCAGTGGAACAGCAAGAGAATGGGTAAATGTTATTTTATATACCAACAAAATGGCCCAGGCTGCATTCCACTCTCTATTGTTCTCTTTTGCCCTGAGTTCTTGTTCTTTCTTAGCTCCCCTCCCACCCTGTTCATTACATTTTCCCTCTTTCCTGTTTGCACTGTCCGTGTATTTTTAGCTGATAAACACAAAACAGCACATATTGAGGACTGTGAATCCTTGGCCTTCAAGTGCCTCAGATTGTCTGCAATCATGATAATGCAGCCTACATTTATAATATTGCTTGTTAGTTTGAAAGCAAGTACCCACAGCTCTGTGAACTAAAGAGCCACTCCTGAGAAGGGCTGAAAAGGGAATTAAAATAACCTTCTTCATCATCCCTTGCAGTTCTCTAATGACTTGATGTCTGGCCATAGCAGGGCGCCACGGTAGAGCGCCATCACAATGGGATAATTGTAGGGACCTGGCTAGTGGGTAGAACTTTAATCACCAGCTCTGATGGGAATTTAGGGGCAGGGACAATAAAAGAGGTTCAAGCCAATGCACACTCTGTAACAAAACCTTTTTAAGTTAGAAAATTTCCTTTGAGGACCTTTAAATGTGATCAGTTTTCTTATTCTTTCTTTTGAAACATCTAACAAGAGTCAGTGTCCTCTGTAAGCTTAAGTGTTAATTGATTTTGAACACAGACACAGATAATTTTTTATTTGAAAGAAAAAAACAGGTCAAAAGAATATACTCTCTTTTTCTGTATGAATAAATCCTATGTCTTCCTTATAATTTCTAGGTCACTGTTTATTTTGACTAGACCTTTATGTAACCTAAAATAGAGAATACAGACAGTTTTTCTTTGCATAAATTTTCTTTACTTAGAAATATATATATATATATATATATATATATATATATATATATATATATATATATATCTCAGTTTATTTGAATGATAGATTTAAGTCTTGTCTTGGTTCAAATAAATATCATATGTATATACTTATCATTTTTTCTATCTGCTTTCTAAATCTTCTGAGGTTCCCAGAGTACTTTTCATAACTATGTTTTCTATGTCATAGCTTTTGTTTTCTTTCAAAAATATTATTTGACCATATATATATGTATATATATATATATATATATATATATATATATATATCTGTATATATATAACATGCATTATATATATAAATGTATATACACACACACATAGTATCTATACATGCACATACATCTCACACACACACACACACACACACACTCATCACATATTTTTGTATGTCTTTTTCTCCCTCCAAAGGACTTTATTTATTTCTCTGGGATTATAGTGCCCATATATATTCATATTATTATCATTTATACATTTTAGAAACATATTGACCTATGAAATAGGCAGCTAAGGGCACATGTTTCTTTCCCTAACTTAAAAAAATTAAATTTTTTATATGAACTTAATTTACCTCAAGGTATAAATGTGTTAGTCTCACATGAATTGTGAGCAAAGAAATAGCAGACCTATAAGGGCTGAAGGTGTAGCTCAGTGTTGGAGCTCTTGCTTAGCCTGTGTGAGGCCCTGGGTTCAATCCCCAGCACTGCAAAAGAAAAGGAAAAGCAAAGATACATATTCCATAAGAAAAGATTATCACACAGAATTTTACAGTCTGCATTTTTAACAGAATCATCAGAAAATGAGGGAATGAAATTTAAAAGATGAATATGAAGAGAAAGTAGTGCTTAAAACTTTATAATCATAAAATTGCAAAAACAGATCACACAAAAATTATGGGTAATTTGGAATTCTTTCTATTTTCTTTTTTTTTTGAGTCTACTTGAAATATATATATATATATATATATATATATATATATATATATACACAATATAATAAGGCCAGTTACTCATTGAAATAAAACTAATTCCATCAAAGTGAGTACTAAACTTATCACTTGATTTTGTTTTATCTAGCAGTAGAATTGGAAATACTAATTTGGCAATGAAATAACACATGCTATTGCAGACTTTTATCTTTTGACAAAATTGTTTTCAGAATATCAAGATATAAAGCATAAACCTATTTCTATTATTTGGGGATTTTAATTTGTTTAAATATTCATCCAAAATGCATGATATTAAAAAATCCCCTTTTAATGATTTCTATAATATCAACTTGATTTTTTAAATAGGTAAATTATATATGTTGAACATATACATGTATATGTATATATCTACATGCATGTGTATATGTATTCATATGTATATTTGAGGTCTTTTTAGGATGTATTTTAGTCCTTATTTACCTTTGAATTTTTATCACTTTACCTAGTATTTGCTGAAAAAAAGTCATTCTTGCTCAAAGTAATGGTTAGGTCTTAAACAGTTAATAATACTAACTGCAGAATTAGATTTACTTCTATTTTAGTTTTTTTTTTTTCAAAGCATATTGTAAGTTTTATTTCAATTGTTTGTGATGAAAACATATTTAAAGTCAATGCAAAAAGGACAAATTAAACTTACTAAGCTGAGGCTGATATTGTTCCTTTGCATATAATCTTTACATTTTGGTGTTTTCTAATGTGCAAACCTCACACTACCAAAAAGGAAATATTATTATACTCAGGTTGTAGTCTGCTATTCATGAAATTAACATTGACTATTTCACAGACGAGAACTTCTATAGAATCTTTTTATATTTTAGTGTGAAAACTTTATTATTTAGGTTTGAGGTTTTCTTCATATACAAAGTACAAAAACTTTAGAATTAATTTTTTGCTTTTGATAATTTTTACTTCTATCCATCAAGGATCCTGCAGTTATACTACTTACAGTGATATACAGATTATGACACTTTTATTTCTAACATCATAATAAATAATTTAACCCACAAATATTTCTATCAAGTATATAATAAGTGCTAAGCATCGTACTTGGAAGAGACATAGGAGACACAAGATAAATGTACAATTACTAGGGAAAACTGACCTGTGACCCAGAGGGGAAGATAGAAAGCACATTCTAGATAGTAACCCCCTTCACAACACATATCCATCTCCATCTCTCTGTCTCTGTCTCTTTCTCTCTGACACACACGATTTTGTACAATGAACTCTTGGGGAATGTTGTATACAAAATAATAATTTGTCTAAGCCAAGGAGTAATCATAGATGCCAGGTAAGCAGGTAAGTCTTTCAAAAAGCTGATAGCTGAAGAATATTGCCGTGAATCTTGAATCATTTCTTCATAAAGAACATTACCAAGTTGGGTGGTTGTTAGATGCCAGATATAGAGCAAAGAGTAAGGACAAAGGAGAACAAGAAATAAGTCTGTAATCTAATGCATCTTATGTACTAGAAGTAGGTCGTTAATCAATAGCTGCATCGAAACAATACTAAGGTCACTATTTGAACAAATGGAAAGAAATTTCTCTGGGGAAAGACAAAAATATAAAAGTAAAATTAATACTATGTGTGATGAGAAAATGAGAGTATAAATAGCTCCATTGGTCTTCCTTTGGAAACCCTGCCCTATTCTAGTTAGAGGTATCTGCTTTTCTCTTAGTTGCCCCTATTCAGTACCACTCCTTTCCATGCCCTACCCCCAGAACTTTATTTTAATTACTTGTCTGCATCCTTCAGCAATTGGTGTCTTCTGTATGTGGTTTTATGAGCTTTAAACCTACATTTTGTAGGACAACATCTGACATGGAGTCTTAGTTTTCATCGTGAATCCTTAATGCCATAGGAAAATTCTGATTTTTGAATACAGATGATGGATTGGAGGACATGATGCTGAAGGACATGAGACTGCAGGTGGATCACATACAAGATATCATAGCATATGAATAACTGATATAAAAATGCTAAGGCCGTAAAATAAGACAATGACAGTGGGTAGGTGAGAAAGGAGTAGATTTAGGCATAATACCTAGCTGATAAAAAACTGTGATCTGGAAAATATAGTCTAGTTTTTGTTACAATTTTTAGTATAATTTCTAAGTGTTTAGAAATCAGCAATTTTCTTTCTAAGCATTTCTTGGACCAATCTTTCCTTACAATACTAAATAGCAAAAGTTATCAAAGCATTGTCCAAATAACAAAATATTTAATTGTTAATTCAATAATATGATAACAATGCTAAATGTTCTCTGTCATCAATATGCATCTTCAGTTAGACAAAATAGTGTTAAAATGTATTAGTTCTTCACTATAAATATAATACATTTTATTATAGTCATGATGCTAGGAAGCATTGAATAATAATTAAGTATAAAACTGGTGCTTTGCTTTGTTATTGCAATTAGAGATTGGCAAGCTTTTGCTAGTGTTGAACTTTATTGTATTTTATTAGTAATTTGATATTTGTATTTGGCCTTTAACAAGTTAGTTCACATGCGGCATTGATTTGCCGTCATCTTTATCATTATTCATCAGGCAAGACATAACGTGACGCCTCATATTTCACTGACAGAATGTCAAAAGAACAAGCACTTCCCTAGGAAAGGTTGGCCAGAAGAACTATGGTTTGGCATTAGGAGAATTTTCATTCATTTTAATGTTACACAAGAAAAAGATGAAATTCTATCTCTCAAATAAGATGTATATTGTAAAATGTGAAGGAAACTATCAAAACAGACGTACATTTTTATAAACTTCATAGGCACACCTGTAGTCTTTTCATCCTTCCTTAGTAGCTGCATGAACTAAGCCTAAATTATCTGTTCCTCTGGAATGGATCAAGACTTGAATATTTGAGAGATGATGAACAATTCTTCACCATTATGTTTTGCACTATATTCCAGCTTCCCTTCCTCTACTTTCATATTTTTCTTCTTTGGATATTCTTTCCTTCTTTGTTCATTTATCTAATGTTGGTACAAGTCACTTTGAATCCATGGACTTTTCCCAGCTTTGCTTATATACTGCATGATACAGAGTTGGTATATTAAAGTTTTAGATTAACTTTGAAAAAGGATGTAGAAGAATTGGTGAAAAAATGTATAGTATGTTAATGAAATAGGTGATGAAATATGTTTTAGTCACTTAATACACTATGCAATGCATTTACATAGTATTAAAAATAATGTTTTAATGGTTAGACACTTCTTTGCCTGATCTTATTTGAATAACAAAAATGAATCTGATACAACTTACTACCATTTTTTTCTATTACCTTAACACATGTGATGCATATAACATATACTTTTCCTTTCTCTTATGTTCTTTTTTTGTTTTCATTCCATAGGTATATCTCTAGTAGATTATTGAAAGTTAAGAACAGTTTATTATTTATGGACTACACAAATTTTAGGAGATAACTGGCTAATTTCACTTGAACGATTAAGTATATAGTTTTGTATTTAAAAGTATAATATATCTGGGAATAAACCAAGTAAAGAAAGTGCAACTATGAATTTCTGGCACAAAAAAAGGTGCTCTTTTCTATGGAATTCTACAAAGTAAATGTAAATTTAACTATTGATGAAGTGCAACAGTAAGCACATTCTATACTGAAAAAGGACAATTATTTTATGACTAGCTTTCTTATAGATATTTTTTTTATTTAATAATATGACATTTAAAGTTAAGTAAATAAGAAAATAAACCTAAGTATTTTTATTAATTAAGCAATTTGTGTGTTTTCATTTCAAATCAGTAAATATACTTATAACCTACTATTTTTAAGGTATGATGTTAGGGGTAACAGAACAAGAACAGTTCAGTGTTATAACTCTAATGTAGCTTAAATCCACTTGAGAAAAAGATACTATAAACATGTGAAAAGTATAAAGATATGAGATTTCACCTATAGCTTGAGGATTTACCAGATTAAGATAGGTAAAATTGGAAGCATCCAGTTTATTTGAAATAAGTTGAACTCTATAAACAAATGTACCAGAATAGAAAAGTACATAGACAAGAGGAGACAAACCAATTTAGTTTGGGCAGAAGATTCGTGTTGAGAAACTATAAAACCTATCCTAAAGGTAGACTAAAGCTTAAATATATTTAATAAATAGAATAGATAAGAGAAACAAAATTGGAAGACCATTCTCAGAATTTCATAGAAGAAAATTGTAAGTGGTGCTCTGCTTCACCTGTGCCCAATTTTTTTTTTCTATCTTTGGAAGATATTGCCATTTAGGGAACTATCTAAATTGTTCCAATACCATTTCCCTTCTACATATATCACTTAAAATTTTCCATTTTTAGTGATCACTATAGCCTTGCCCAACCCCAAAACAATATTAGGCCTTCCAAATCAACTCTATAGTACCCTGTATTTTTTAATAATTTACTTATTATCAATCTGCTGAATTGTATGCTATATGAAATAAAGTCAGGACCCTAACACATAACTGTTCGGGAAAAATGATGATAAATTCAGGGTTACTTTAGAAAGAGATTTTATTTTTTAGACCAGTTTTGGGTTCACAAGAAAATGAAGTAAAGCATAGAGATTTATCCCAGCTTTCACACATGCATAATCTCTTATTATCTCTCACCAAAGTGGTGCACTTGTTCTAGTTGATGAACCTGCATTGGCACATCATTATCACCCAGAGTGCATCATTTCCCACAGGGTTTACTCATCATATGGTACATTCTGTGGTTTGGATAGATTCAGGTTGACATGTATCTACCATTATTGTATCATACAAAATATTTTCACTGCTCCAAAATCCACTTTGCTTTTTGCCTGTCTCTCACTCCCCAGAGTCTGGCACTACTGATGTTTTTACTGTTTTCATGGTTTTGCCATTTCTAGAATGTTCTGGAATTGGAAATATACAATCTATACCCTTTGTATATTGACTTCCTTCACTTACCAAGGTGCATTTAAGTTTTCTCCATGTCTTTTTATGACTTGAAGCCCAATTCTTTTAAACATTGAATAATTCTCCATTGTCTGGATGTATCTGTTTATTTATTCAACTTCTGGGGATATCTTAGCTACTTCCAAAATTTGGCAATTATAAATAAAATTACTATATATGTCCACGTGCAGGTTTTTATGATATATTCAGTTTTTAACAAAATGATTAAAGTGATACTCAAGTGAAGATATTTAGCAGACAGTGGATCTGTATGAGTTACAGTTTTTTTATAAGGGAGATCAAGACTAGTTATGCATAGTTGTGATATGCATAGTTAATTCTAATTTTAGGTACTAGGCACTAGCAATAGAGAAGAGTATTAAAAAAGTTCTTGGACTTAAGGATCTCACAAAATAATAGGACAAATGGGACACAGAGACAAATAATCCCAATATAATATGGGAAGTACCACAATGTAGGTATTATAAAATTCTAATCAGTTGTATGTGGAAATGGGAGAGAAGGTTTCACAAAACTAACCACCTTTGAGGTGAGCAGGAACCCACAGGCAGATAGATGATTTGAGAACAGTCATATGCAGACCCAGAGTTTAGGAAAAAAATAGAAAGTAGGCTGATGTTGGGGAAATAGTGAGAAACAGAGCTAAAATAACAGATTAATCAGTTGGAGAAGGGTCTTTTAAGCCAGCTAATGAGTTTGGACTTTTCTTGTATTAGTTATGATCTTATGTGTAGGTGTTATGTGAATTAACATCCAGTTGCCTGCATTAAAGATAGGGTGGAAAAGAAGATAAGAGACTCAGAAAGCTAGTGAACTATTTTATAGAAGGTAACTGATCTATAATCATGGAAGAGGAGATTCAGGAGATATTTAAGATGTTAAATTAAGAAGACGATTAAATCCTTTAATATTTTTATCTTATACTTAAAATCTATAAAACAAGTATATTAGGACTTATTTGATTTCTGAAAACATTAGGATTACAGAAAAGGTATAAGTAGAAATTCTGCTGATTTTGTGCCACAACAAAAACAGTTTAATTTTTCATATTCTTGGACCATAATCCCCTTTCAAGATGTCATTTAAACATGAAATCTAAGTATTTAAAATAATTGTTTTTTGTGCACTTAAAATATGTCAATGGCGTTCATTTCATATTAAACGTTTTACTACAATAAAACAATTTTAAAAAATATACATATTTTGTAGGGCAAGGTTTTGAACTTCTGTTTTCTGATTTTAATTCAATACTCAATGTAGGCAGAAGCATTTGATTTTACTGAGAAAATTAAGAGAAATGAACTAATATTGAGTATAATTTGTGTCATGAAGTCTAATGACTGGAATATCATATAGAAAGGTTGTCATAAGTCTAGAATAAAAGCAAATCAAGTTCTCAGATACTTCTTACATGGTCAGTCAGCTCTATTGCCATATTCTGCTGGTGCATAAGGATAAATAAGAGAAGGAAGCAGTTAAGTCTACAAGCACTAAATTCATTAATTGTCCTTAATTAGCAATTTCGTGTTTCCACATGAGTAACTTTGTTGGGAAGTTATTGCTTTTTGTAACTGTGGGGTAACAATTAGCCAAAAAGATCTTTAAAGAATAAATTGAGATACTGAGATAACAGTTGTAATTACAATTTTAAATTAGGTGATTTACTATAGTAGCACTGACAATGTGATCAGGACCAAATAAACTGAGAGAACATTTTAGACACCATGTGGTTGCTGTTTATTGTCAGTGTAGCCTTTTTTGTTTGTCTATTAACATGCATTTTTTTCCTCATCTAATTTCAGCTATGACAGTGATAGTTGGTGCCCACCATTACCAGTACAAACATACTTACACCAGGGTATGGAAGATGAACTGGAAGAAGATGACGATCGGGTCCCAACTCCACCTGTTCGAGGCGTGGCTTCCTCTCCTGCTATCTCCTTTGGACAACAGTCTACTGCCACTCTTACTCCATCCCCACGGGAAGAGATGCAACCCATGCTGCAGGCTCACCTGGATGAGCTGACAAGGGCATATCAGTTTGATATAGCAAAACAAACATGGTAAATATATTCACTGAGTCAAGGGATCTATGCTTTCTGCACATGGAAATGTCCTTTTATATAAATTCACAAGACATATTCATAAAACTATACACATGAGGATAAAATTTTGATTTTGTATACTCCTTAATCATTTAGAAAATGATTTAACTACTACAGAAATGTTAATTTGACCAAAGTCGCATAGCTAGTTAGAGAGTAAGCTAGAGCAAGAATTCAGGTCTGCTGAAATTCAGTCTAAAGTGCTTTTTGGCTACACTGGAATCTTCTAATTTACAACCGATTTAGCTTCAATTAGCTTATCCTTGAACTCACTTTTAATGCCATAATGAAGGACTCCTTTTGGATTCTTTAAAGTGCCTGTGATTAATTCTGCAAGTAGTTGTGAATATGTAAATGCAAGCTTCTGCAAATCACTTATGGTCAGTGTCAGTTATTAAAAGACCCTCTTTGGGCAGAATTAAACATACCAGAAAAATAAAAAATTTACTAACAGTAAATGCATTTTTTAAAATCACAGAGAATAGATTAAAAACCCAAACTTCATTTTTTTTTCTTTTGGTACCAGGGATTAAACCCAGGGTCACTTAACCACTAAACCACATGCTCAGCTGTTCCCCCCACCCCTACCTCAGACAGGGTCTCTCTAAGTTTCGTAGGGCCTCACTAAATTGGTGTCTTTGAATTTGTGATCCTCCTGCCTCAGTTTTCTGAACCACTGGGATTACAAGCCTGTGCCACCACACCAGGATCTATTACTCTATTCTTCTAATTATTAGAAAACTTTCATAAATTATAGATGCAATTCATATAGGTATCTTGTATAAATATGGTAGATCATAATTTTATAGGGTTGGTTGTTTTTTCCAATGTTTTCCTCTCTGATAGTGATATATAGGCCTGCACCCTTGAAAACAAAATCTCTGTTACATTCTTTGAATTATGTTCTCTTGATTTATACCCTGTGCTTGAAATCATGGTAGCTTTTTTAAAAGATAGTATTATCATTCTTTTTATGGGAGGGTAATTCTAGCTACTAGAGTAAGTTGATTATGAGATGACTCTTATTCTCAGTGTTAATTGACTATTTTTAAAATATAACAGCTATACTAAAATATAACATAGTTAACTATACATACAAAGAGAATCTCAAATAGGTATGTCACTTAAAGCTGTATGAACATGCTCTTTCCTTAGGATAAAAGGGTCTTGAACATTTTCTCATTTTTTTCTAAAGATTAAAGACAACCTCGTATTACACATAATTATTTTATGATACATCACTGGTTAAAATGAAGCCAATTACTTAAAGAGTGATAGGATTCTCTTCAAGGTTAACTGGTGAAATCACAACTTTAAGTCATTTGAAGCAGAGACTTTGGCTCAGGGGTTCTCAAATTGGTGTGTGTTTTGAAATCATATGGAGAACTTTAAAATATATTGGTCCTAAGTCCCACCTCTAAGCAGATTCTGATTCCATGCTGAGCTTTGACTGAGGACAGCCCAAGTTGGGGAAGTTACCATAGAGGTGAACCTGCTTCCTATCTGCATAACTAGGGGCAACTTGCTTACCACTTGCATGCTATAGTTAATGTGTTTAAAATGATGTCAGAAATAATAGCTCATGTATAAAATCAAAGGGCAGTCCTCAGGCCACTCTCATTTCTGATAAACAAATACAAATATCAGGGTCCTGAGACCACACTGAAATTCAAGAATTCACTAGAAGAATTTATAGAAATCTATTATTCTCAGAGACACAGTCAACTACTGTAAAAACATATAAAGTCAGCAAAGAGAAGAGTTATGAGGCAGAGTCTAGAAAAGTCCCAAAAGCAGAGCTTCTAGTTGTTTCTTCCAATTGGAGTCAAGGACAGCACTACTTTCCCTAAAGTGTAACGATACACAGGGGATATTGCCAGACTTGGAAATGAGTTTCAAAAGACAACAGTAAAAGAACATAGCACTTACTCTTTAATCTCGCTTAAATAGAAGGGGTCTTTAAGATACTTTTGTATGACAGCAATGAAAAGACTCTGTAAAAACTTGTAGTACATTTGCTTTTAAATGACATTAAGAAATAACATTGCTGACGGCTGCAGTGGCGCATACCTATAATCCCAGTAGCTCTGGAGGCTGAGGTAGGAGGATTTCGATTTCAGAGCCAGTCTCAGCAACGGCGAGGCATTAAGCAACTCAGTAAGACCCTGTCTGTAAATAAAATACAAAATAGGGCTGGGGATATGGCTCAGTGATTGCATGTCCCTTTCTTGGTACCTCCCACAAGAAAGGAAGGAAGAAAGGAAGGGAGGGAGGGAGGAAGAAAGGAAAGAAGAAAGAAAATAACATTGCAATGCTTTTGCTTAGCATTTTGTAGGTGTCCAGCTGCACATTAGTTAGCCACCTGATTTGATAAATTTAAGTTTTACTTGAATATGTTTCAAAACTGTGATGGTAATTATAAGATTCTATTTATCTAATGAAGGTTGAGATTAAAATTATTTACTCATTGCAAAGGGTTTATCTAACACATCTTGTGTTCTAAACACAGAGTACTAGGGTGAATTGTTTCTGCCTTGGAGAAGTTCAAGATGTTGGTGGCTGAGACAGATGCACAAATAGGTAGATAGAGCAGAAGGTACTTGCCATAACTGGGGCAAATGAAAATACCTCTCAGCCTGCTCTGAGAGGGTCATGCAAAAAGAAATCCTCCTAAGTCCAGAAATGTGCTGAAGGTGGAAGAGAGGGAACATTAGGCATTCCAGTGACATCTTAAGTGCTAGCAGGCCGCATGGGTGGGTTACACATAAACTGGAAACAAAATAATATGTATATGTATATATGTATGGGTATATATATTATTTTTTGAAAAGGTCAACTTTAAATAGTCTTGTGACAAGTATTTTCATTCTGTTTTTGATGACTTATCTATACAAAATATATGTTTATATCACTAGAATAATTCTTAAATTTATGTGGTTGTTGGTAAGGCATATGCCCAGAGACCTATTGTCTCTATTGACATGTATGTAATAAAGCATTGTAAACTCCAACATTATTAATGCAAAAGAAGAATACTGTTACCATAGCATGCCATTTAATTCTTATTACAATGTTTTTGAATGTTAATGGACTGCTTTTCCCATTTTATTGTTTCCATTTGAATTCTAGGCACATTCAAAGCAATAATCCACCCCCACAGCCCCCAGTTCCACCATTAGGTTATGTGTCCGGAGCCTTGATTTCTGATTTGGAAACAGATGTTCCAGATGATGATGCTGATGATGAAGAGGAAGCTTTAGAAATCCCCAGGCCCCTGAGAGCACTAGACCAGACACCCGGATCCAGTATGGACAATCTAGACAGCTCTGTGACAGGTAATGGAACTGATTTAATATAAATAACTGACCTATTTGCAATATTGAAATGCATCAAAAATCAAGTACTTTCTTATGTAAGATTTATTCCACTCCATCTATTTCTGTAACATTTTTAATATGTTAATGTTAAACACAAAATTCAAAAAGGATTTGGAAATACTTTTGCTTTGCTGCAAAATTGATAAGAAAATTCATGAATTTTAAAAAGCTTTAAAGACATGAAAGAAAACTCAATTATAGTCATGGCTTTCATGAAAAGTTCACTGTGCTAGGGAACCAAATCTATTACATAAAAAAACTGAGTTTTAGAAATGATATATTTTGTATATCAGGAGGAACATACAAAATGAATGCAATCTTAAAATGCTTCTTGATATTTCACTCTGTAAAACCATTCACTGATGAAAATAAGTAAGTCTTCAGAAAAAGACTCTTCAGTTGCACAAGGTATTATTTTTATAGTGGAAAATGCATAGTGAGATAGACCATGCATTTATGCATTTCATAGTGTAGAATAGAATCCAACAACTTCCCCTCTTCCAAGAAGTATATTTATTTTGACTATTTACTCCTCTGGCTTCTACTTGCCTTGTTCACCAAGTGAAAGACTTCAGTTGGTACCCTCCTCTGATGATTCCAGGACTGATGTGTAACCTATGTCCAACAATTTCAATTGGAAATTTTAAAATCCTAATATGTACACAATAAATATGGTGAAAAGTAAAAATTCAGTATTTCTGTTCACATAGTTATACATTCTTTGATACACACACAAAATGCCTTTTGCAAAATTATGAAGACCTAGCTACTCCAATCTAAGCCTGATCTTTGCATTTCTTTAGGATTTCTAAGGAAACTACACATATCTGTATTTTCCTTGATGGCACCTTTCATCCTAGAAAACATCTTATCACAGTCTTAATTTCCTTTTAATCCAACAGCTTCCCAATTCCACAGACTCTGTGTTCCATATTAGTTCTGCAAACACCAATGGAAACTGATTTAGTGCTGAGAAAACATGAGTGCCTGCACTTTTCCTGTACAGCCCTCCCTGCATGAGGCAGTGCATGATGCATGAGTCCACTATTCAGTTTTCCTTCTTGCTTGACGGCTGGTCAGCTTGCCAGGCTAATTAAGATTTAAAAACTGCAGATATACTGGTGTGATTTGAAACCCAGATCCAACCCAGGGTGACAGAGCAAAAGTTAAAATCTTTGAATTCAGAGAGCTGACTTATTAGTGCACTATTATGTTAAGCCTATTTGCCTGAATTTCTAGCATAATCTCCTTAAGGGTAAAATTCTGCATATTTTTGCATATTTCACTAATGATACTGAACTCTTTTTTTCCATTAGGAATGCAGTAAAAATGTGCAATAATGATGAAAAAAAAGTCAGCTATGCTGATGTAGTTCTTTTATTAAATATTATAATGACAAAGATGATAAATGTATCTATAAATTGGGAGAACACCACCCTGCACTTTTACATGCACACCTGTCAGGAACAAGTAAGGATGTCTAATGTAGTCTACTGGTTAAGATGTCAAGTTTGAACGTCTTAAGTAACCTGCATTTCTCCTGTTGGTAATATAATGTTGATTCCGAATGAAGCTCTTATTGCTAAGAAAAGAAAGTCTATTTTCCTACTTGAATTCACTGCTTAATTACTTCTGAATATAGAAACCTCAGGGTGTTTAGGCATGAATTCCACAATGCACTTATCCTATGAATAATACATCTCCTTAGCAGAAGTTGTACTTTACACTTAAGCAACTTAAGCACCTCCCCCATACACATTTTTTTGTCTTTCCAAGCACCAGTGACTTTGAGGAGAAAGTTTGATCAAAGATTTGATTTGCCTTCCAGGGTGTGTTGTGTGTCTACGTGTATGTGTGTAGGAAGTGTGAATGGGTATATGTAGGTATTAGTGTGACCATAGGGGATGTGAGTTTATTAGTGTATGTACATGTATAGGGTGTAGAGTGCATGAGTATAAATGTGTGTGAGAACAGAGAAGATTGAAAGTGCATATACAGTGTCAGTGTGAATGGGGTGTGCACATCTATACAGGGTATGTGCATGTATTACACAGTTTGCAATTCTATACAGTTTGTGCACATGTGTGTAGAGTGTATGGTATATATGTGTGTATGAAAGACAAGGCACAATGTATGTGGAGTGTGTGTGAGTCTATGTAGCTAGTGAATGTATTTGTGTGTGAGGGAGAGCAAATAAGATATACATGTAATTGTGTGTGTACACATGCCTGCTCATATGCTCAAGTGGATGTTTATGTGGACCAAATGTTATCAAAACCAACATGCTAATGAATATTGTCCTAATGATGTTCTTAGGTTTTGTTCAGCTATAAGGCTACTTTAATAGTGCTAATTGAGATAGGCCATAATACACATACTCCTTCAGTGAGCTTTGGAGACTAGAGGATTCTGAACTTACCATCAGTTACTTAGAGTTCTAAACTCGCCTGGGGTGTAAATTAATGTTTACTTTCAACTGAAATTTCCTTATATTGTCATTTTCATGAAGCAAATGACCATTTTGATTAAATAGAACTAACAATTTCCATTCCTGGAGACTCTAAAGCCCGTCCAGAATGATACTACAGTCACACTGGGTGGGCTGAAAGCCTTTATGTAAAATTACACATTTTACTTGGCTGAATTGTACTCCCAACTGCCAGCTTAGGGAATACTAGCCACTAACAGTCTACAGAGCTTTATTCTGTAAAAAAAAAAAATGCACATTAACTCCAAATATTTTCATAGCAAGTATGTAGTTTGTGAGTGGCTACTTAAATCTTGAAATGATCATCAAGAATGAAAAAGAACAAAAATAAAAGAAAATATCAATAGTTCCATATCCCATGACCTCAGTAATGGTAATATGTATTTTCAAGTCTCCTGTTTCATGTATTTATTCCCTAAACAAACATTTATTTTAAGCCTATTACTTCTAATCACTTGAATAGACATTTAGATTCAATAATAGCAACAACCAAACAACAATAATAATAATAAAGTAGAAAACCTAGCTCCTAGTTGATGCATGATACCCTTCTAAGCAGTGGCTTGTTTTTCCTGTGGCTGGCTGAGCTAAGAATGGATTTACATGTTAAAGTTTGTAAAGAAACAAGACATAAGTAAGAAATCAGAACTAACGAATGCATGACAGATGGTGAAGCCTAAATTATTTGGTTTCTTACGTTTGTAGAAAGAACTCCCTGCCCTGATGTAAAGTTTTACCATCTACTAACTCATTTAATCCTCATAACCTCATTATTATTGTTGCTGTTCTCAGTTTATAGCTAAAGAAATTGAGTCACAGAAGGATTTAAATCCTTTTTCAAGGTTATCTACCAGATAAGTGGAGAAGAATGAACAAAATCAATCAGTTTTACTCTAAATATAAATTACTATGATCTCTGCCCTGGAAATGCCCAGTTTATTCTAATCCTCAGAATTAGCATATTGAAGAAGAAAATAATGTTCTGTTTTTTTACTTCTCTCTCTCTCTCTTTGTGTGTGTGTGTGTGTGTGTGTGTGGAGAGAGAGAGGAATAAGTATGTATTTATAAAAATAAAACATGCATTTTATCCCTGGAAACATTAATCCTTTCCCACAATGCACTTAATTTTGATAAAAATATTAAATTTTGATATGACTTTTATTATTTATTCTTCTCATGTTTAGCTCTGTGTGCAGTTACCTTTTTCTAATAAAATTCAAATCCATCAGCTCTTTTGGAAGGAATATTATTTTTATAATTTTTATTTTAATCTGCGCTTAATACTATTTGGTTGTAATAATGTACATTTTTTAAAAAAATTCATACCATCACACTCCATTTGGGACTAGGCAATGTCTATGCAACATTGTTTTGGGAAATGTGGACTTTTTCTTCCTCAATGTTCAACTTGTCAGCTTTGTTCTCTGAGTACCAGGGAGGGGCAAGGCTTCAACATTTCTTTCTCTAACTTCCAAAAGGTGGTGGGAGTCAAGGATAAGTGTTTCCTGAATTTAATGACACCACCATGAAAAGAAACCAAGGCAAGAGGAGAGAGGGAGAGGACAATGTCCTGAACATGTAGTCAAGATTCTAACCGCCTCACTGATTACAAAAAGACCCAGATTGAGTGTTGTAAAGTGAAACGAATAAAATTTTCCTTGCCTGTTGGATCCCACATGAACACTACAGCTGAAAGGAAATTGTGGCCCTGTATTTTCCACTTTATATCTTTGGAGGTTTTTACTGGAACTCCCATACCAGATGAGTATGAAAGTAATAAAATCAGACATCCTCACTATCTAACCTGAGCACACAGCTTTTGGGTCCTTGGACTCTGGAAAGTTTGATCTGACAGATGGTGAAGCCTAATGGCCTAACAATTTCTCTCCCTCACACACAAATACACTCACTCCCTACACAGACTCACACACACTCCACACACTTGCCACACTTTGCTTCTGCTACAAAAGCATAATAATTGAGTATTAAGGCAAATTCCAGGAATAATGCTAAAATTAAGGAAATCATTTTCTGATGTCTTTAAAAAAGAAATTAAATATATACTTTGGAATTTAATGGATAAGAAAAGTGCATATTTTATGCACAATTTTTTGAAACGAGTTAACAAGTATTATATGAACCAAAGGAAGAGATTTTTTAATTGCTTATTTTGCTTTTCCTATATGACACATTTTTCTCCCTCCCTCCCTCCCTCCCACTCCTTCCTACCTCCCCCCCACCACTTTCTCTCTCTGGAATATAGGTGGGACTATTGTATATTCAGACATTTGAGTGTAAAAAGAATTTCCAAAGACTAGAAATGTTTCTCTGCCTCTAAACAGAGGTCAATATTTGGATTGATTTTATCAAAGACATTTAGAGTTGAAGATTTTACTTAGCAGGTAGTTAAGCAATGAGAACTTCATAGGGAGAATTTCAGGATTAAATATTGGCTCGAAAAGTGGGGGACCATTAGTTTTTGTATCTCATAAAAATGGTAATGCAACAATTAGCAGGGTCATATTAGAAAGCACAGACTTTACTCTAGCTTAATGGATCTAAGGATAAGCATTTATCAGCAAGGAAGGATTTAGCATAAAACGACATGTAAATGAATTGATGACTGATCATAAATTAATTTTAGTGCTGAAGATGTAATAGAGACACAGCAAGATGCCACTTTATCATGGTATTTTATGTTCAGTAACATTTAAGCAACAACTTAATGTCCTGTGTGCACTTTTTCTTTAACAACTGGAATACATTTGAGGTATTTTTTGACCTTTTAGTAATTTTAAAGCTGAGAAATTTGGAAAGATTGAGAACATAAACACAAATAAATTTCTCTATGTGACATAAATTCATTTTTCATTAAGTGTTTAAGTATGTATTGATTATGTTTGGGGCAATAATGTGTCAAATGAATGTGAATCTCATATAATTTGTAAGAATCTCTGGCTGAACTCCTTTTACCTGGTGTTCACTTTAATTTTCATGTTTATGCTTACATTTACAAAAAAAAAAAGCTGTTACCACTAAATGACTTCCTTTTTAATTTATGAGTTACTATTTTTGTTTTCTTTCAATTACTGTCTTCTTTCTCCCCGTCTTCTCTTCCTCCTAAAGGACTTCTACTCTTCTTCTTCTCCTCCTCCTCTTCCTCCTTCTTCTTCCCCCCTCTCTTTAATAATTGTTTGCCTGAATCTTCAGATCATTCTTGATGTTCAAATCAAAAGTAAGAGGAAAAATTGTAATGACTGAGAGGTGAAATCAATAAATGTTAAAAATTCTAACAATGTTATTGGAGGAACTTTAACGTATGATATACACCTTTTTATTCATACAATATGACTAAACTGCTTTAAAATTGTCCTACAAAGGTACTAATTCTATGTATCTCACCCCCAATTCATAGGAAAGTTGAAGACTTACCAGAAAGGCAGAGTAATAAAGGAAAAGGAAATATTGATTTCTTTCTGTGTTTATGTTGTTTGCAATCTATTGAAGCAACTAACTTAACTTTTCTCTTTCACTTGGGATCATTAGTGTTCTCATTAGCTAATATGGCCAAATAGCTATGGTATATTTGTCTTTAACTCCAAGGTCATCTGTCTAGTCGCTTTGCTCTTATAGGAAGTACAAGTAAAAGAAATCTTTATCAACCGAAACCCACTTGATGTCCTGCCTTCCAGGCCACTCTGTCTTCCCAGAGAAAGGAGTCAGTGAGCAACAGGAAAAGCTTCATGAACAAATGAAAAATAAATTCATTTTTAAATGAATTGAAATATGTTTAAATATTTTTGAGGCCATAATGTGTCAAATTAAAGCTTGAAAGATTGAGAGAAATCAGAGCAAACACAAAAGTAGGAAAGTTGCTGATCTATTTAGGGTAAGGCAGATGTGTGTATGGAAATCCTCTTGTGTGGGACTCACTTTCACAGGGAGATAACAGTTTATTTGGGGGGAAAGTTGGGCAGTCTTACAAGATGGGATTTCTTTGGTGACATTGCTGTGAGATTTTTTTTTCTCTCATTTCTCTCTCTCATTTTCTTCTGGGAGATTTTTTTTCTAAATTTTGCAGATCCAGAAACTAAATTTGTCAATATGCTAGATCATGAGAGTGGAACCACACAGCAGGCAGACAGAAATATAGCCCAGAGTAGACTCAATTTCTTGGTTGATCATAGTGGATAGTAATGGAATAAAAAATATTTAAAAGAGCAATAACAAAAATAAAAACTTGGGCTAAATGCATTAGAATGGGTGAATCTGGATAGAGATGTCACATATACACACACAAATAAATTTCCACTTGCCACTTAATGAAAAAAAGTCATTGCTTTTCCCATTATTCCAAAGTAATTAGCAAGCATTCACTAATTTGTTTAATAAATTTTCTAAGGATGCTTGAAAGAACATTCTTTTTGCAACTAAAGCAAGGTCATTGCTAAGAAATTGTACATCAAATATAATTACTCAAAGAATTTACAGTGAATAACAGAAACAATAAATGCATTTAATTCCATATGCCCACTGTTCATTGAATTCCTACTGTACAGTGGCCCTGTACAAGAAATACTGAAGTGAATAAGAGATAGTTCTTAATGTCCAGAGTTTTATTTCCTGGAGCAGTATACTATAATACAATATACTATAACACAGGGAGACAGCTCATAGACTACTGCATGCACAATGTTTTCACACAAAGGAGGGAGTCACCCTAACAGAATGTTGAAGGTAGAATCCAGGTGATAAAGATGGTGTTTTATTTGAACTTTAAAGTTTGGCAGCAATTAATAGATTTGGTGCAATACAGAAATATTGTCAAGGAATGGGAAGTGATGTGTGGGTGAGAGAGTGAGATTACACTAGTTGTGGGACAGAATGGGCTGCAAAGGTAGGCTGGCTTAATATTGGGGGGAGGTCTCAGATTCCTAATTTTGTATGTGCATTGGTGTTATAGGTAAGACTTCAAACAGAGGAACAAAGTATAAGATCAATGCTTTGAAAAGATAATGTAGATAACAATGAGGAAAGATAGAAGGGACTAGAAGAAAATCAGCTAAAAGGAGTGTCAGGATGAATTAGGAGAATAACAATAAGGAGATGCTTGTTTGGTGAGTGAGCACAGACATTTAGAAAAACAGAAATCACATGGAAGGGTTTGGAACTGAGCTTTTGAATGTTTTAAAACTATTCCCAGTTCTCGACTTTCATATTCTTTTGTGACCCCTTGCTGAATCACTTTGATTTCTTCTTATCTTCTGTAGCATTATATTGCAAGGCCTACTGCATCATTTCTTCTTTCATTTTGGGCTGTTGATCCTTGACTTGTGATTATTAACCTAGAAATGAATCTCTCAGAGGAGGCTCAGTTGCTGGTGTTATCTCAGTTTCCTTGCAGTGGTCTGTGTCAAGGGAATTTGTTTGGAAAGTAAAAAGTATATCTTTGTGCTTTTGGCAAATAGAATCAAGACTCTATCTTTCTCTGCTACACTTAACACCCTTTTAATGTCCCGATCATTCTAACCCTTTCAGTTTCAGTTTTCTCTGTCTTGAGAGTGCATGAATCCGTGTTATTGTACCATGACAGTCTGACTACCACTTCAAATACTGAGTTGTGGCAACTCCTAACTACACTGCTGTCTTTTAAATATTAGAGAAATAGAAATAATCTATAACATACGACTTTCATCTCTTTCCTGGAAACACCTGTTTGGTTTATTTTGAAATTCTAAATTAACTTTTTGTAAGTACTTTTTTGTCCCTCTTCTAACAAAAGCAAAAGTTAGGGTAAACAATACTTGAGAGTTTATTGTGTCATGGTACACCAACTTAAATATGTACTGCGATTTTAATTTTATTACATAATGAGTTAAGTTCCTAGTGTGCTTTTATCTAATATGTGTATTTATGTATATGCATAAAATAGAAAATGACTTTCTAGAAAGAAAAAAGTTGTCAATATCTTCAAAGTGTATTTTATTTAAATATAAAGTTGCAATTCTTTTCCTCTACTGCCATGGTTCATTTTGAAAAAAAAAATCAATAATGCTGATAATAGGCTCCATAAAGGCTAATTTCATAAGTATCAGTGTTAAAGAGAAAATTAGAGTTCTTCAAATATTAAAAATCAAAGAAAGCATAAGAAATCTTGAAATTAACAGCGCTTTTGCAAACTAACGTTTTCCTTATGTTCTATATTTAGTTGATTTGATGTCATTTATACATTTTAGTTGATGTATTTTGTTATTTAACAAGTAATTAACTGTTCACCTTAAAATCTTAAAATAATTCCAGATCTTCTATGATATACAACTGTACGTACAAGGTCCAGTATTCAAGTTTTTATGCAGATTATCATTGCCCTCTGAACTAACTACAAATTATACCCATACTATTTATTCAAGCAAGTCACCGATCAGTTTAAATACACCATAATTTGTTTCAATAAGAGTGTTCATCCCTGACTTGTAGAAAATACACATAGCAGTTCTTGCTTGGAAAAATGATCATGTAACAATTTAAACAATGTAAGAAATGAAACACTTGGAACATGTCTTGCACATGTGCTTCAAACAAATACAGATTTTACACAAGCTTCTTTCATTTGTACTAAGTGTGTTTAAAACATGGATAATGTTTAGCTAAGGAATCCATGACGAAACTTCAAAGTGGCGAGGAGTCGAGGCAGTGTACTTGCTCATTCATATAGTGTTTACAAGCACATGAGATATGCAATATATACAAACTCACTAGACAACTACATTTGTTTTTAGGTTCAATGGTAAATGGATGGGGCTCTGCATCTGATGAGGATCGTAACTTTTCTAGTCATAGATCTAGTGTAGGTAGCTCCTCAGATGGTTCCATATTTGCCAGCGGCAGTTTTGCACAAGCACTGGTGGCAGCAGCAGATAAAGCTGGTTTTAGGCTGGATGGAACCAGCCTTACAAGAAAAGGTTGGTAGACTCCAAAGTCAACACTCTTTGCATGAGAGAATCTTGTCCTTGGGACACTGACCTTTTTTCTCCTCTTCTTTCTCAGCAAGTCTGACTACAGGGCTCTCTGTAATATGCATGAACATTTGGGATGCTCTGTTGTCTGAACTCTGTCCTGATGCAAGTTTTGCTGAGCCAAAATTAGGCTCCAACTTACTACCTTCTATCCTTAATATTCCTTTCTCTTCACGGTTCTGCTGATTAATTGGAATACACTTCCTTTTTATATTATGGCAAATCAGCAACTCAGATTGCCATTAAATTTTCAATAACTCACACTTTGCAAAATCTGCACACATTAATAATGAACCTAGTGATTGAAATTATTCAGCTTTTATCTCCATTACTTTCCTTTGCCCCATCTCTTTCTACAAATGCAGTTTCTGGGAAGCCTTCCTCAGCATGGGGTGAATGGGTGTAAGGCTTTCAGTCTAACAGTTCAAATGGCTGAGGGTCTTATTGTTTGGCTAAGATTTTAATACAATAATTTATTATATGTTTTAAAGGATGCTAATTAAAGATACACCTACTGCATTTGCAAGTTGAATAAAATGATGACTACATGTATATTGTACTTTAGAGAATTTAATATTGATTTCTGAGAGTAATAAGTAATAATATAAAGGACCAATTATGTCATTTTTCACATGCTGCTCATTCCACAAAAAGAAATGCAGTCTTAATTCTAAAAATAGATTAGCAGTTTGTAATCATTTGTTTTTCTGGAAAAAAACCCAACACTTTGGCATGATTATGCTCTAATATTATATGTACTTCTTAACTTCACATTTAGGATGGTAATATATGAATTAAACTGAGCTCTCTTACAAAACTAATGAAATATCAAATGCATTTTTAAATCTTTATAGTGTTCAAATATTAAATAAAAGTAATATACTCCTGATCTTCATTAAACTCTCAGGTTATAAAAGTGAGCCTTGGAAATTGTCTTGAATTATATCATCAATATTTAATTTGAGCATGTATTAGATATCTTCAAGCAAAATAAAAAAGATTTCTCAAGCATTGCAGAGGTTTATTTTCATATAGCATCCAAACTAAAATATGTTGTAATATAACTGTTATTTGAATTTTCTTGCTTTATAAAGCATAAGTCAAAAACTTTATGTTGCCTGAGTGCTTTTTGTGGCATTAGCTGTAAGCAGAACAGTGAGAAAGTGTAAGGAAACTAATAAATTAGACAGAATAGGTGCATTTCTTGCATGTATGCTAATAGCTAATAAAGCATTAAGCAACATCATGTCACATTGACTTAGGAAAATGAAACTACATATGATAAGTTTGTATGAAATGAAAACATGACAAGAGAATAAATATATGAACATAAACCATCCTTCTCTTACTATAATAAACAGTATTAAAAGATGTTTTTGAAAATGTATTAGGTAACCTTTTCCCAGAATAAATTTCACTTCTTTTGTACTAAACCACAAGAAAGGGAAATAGTACAATTCATTCGTCCATGAGAATTTGAAATCTGCTCAGATACAGTAATCACAAAATACCTACTTCACTTTGGATATACAAGGTGATTTTAACCTGCTATCCTCTACACTGATGTTATTGAGTTTCCACTAAGAGATAGAATTCATTTTGTTTGCATATAAGTGGTAAAGTCAATTTAGCATATGTACCTGAGCAGACTTTTCACATAAAACTACAAGGCATTTTTTACTGTACTCAGATTTTGTAAAATTTCAGGGGTGAAATTTGATTAAGCAAATGAAACAGTGTGCAATTCATTTAAGAAATAACCTCTTTAATTTTGAGAAATAATGTTTCATGAATTTGCATATAACTATAAAATTATCACTAAGATTTTCAAGGTAATATAAAAACTAATCAAGCAGTATGAAGCTTTGGATTGGTAGATTTGTATTATGTTCAGTTGTTTGAAATATTTTTGTGGGTGGGGTGTTCTTAGCTTATAAAAATTGAACACATTATATGTAGCAGGGCATGTATTTATTTTTGTAGGTGCACCAATATTTGGTATCTTCCAATGGCATCTCTAGGTAGGTTCACAGATTTAGCCTTAGGAAGAGCAGAAAATACAAGACAGACATTATCAGTGCATTACAATGACATTCCCTATACCCCATTCCCTTTGTTTTCTTTCTAGGAAAAGCCTTTACCTCCTCTCAAAGACCTCGACCCACCAGCCCGTTTTCTACTGACAGTAACACGAGCGCAGCCCTGAATCAAAGTCAGAGGCCCAGGCCCACCAAAAAACACAAGGGAGGGCGAATGGACCAACAGCCAGCACTGCCTCACCGAAGGGAAGGAATGACAGATGGTAGGCTGATTTCTGTTCCTCTTCTTTCCTCAATGAAGAGATGCATTCTACGCGGTCATTAACTCAGATTAAAATATCTATGGTAGATTAGGCATTGCCTCATTACATACAAGGCAGAAACCTGGCAAAATGGTCTTGCTTACATGAAACACCCTCTCTCTCAACAATCTGGAATTATGTCTTTATGATCAATCCCCAAGAAAGAGAAGCTGTACCACTCTTAACTGTTGTTTTTTCTACCCTTCTGGCATTTTTCTTTATTGCATTTTAGCAAACATTCCACTTTAAGGTTATGAAAAAAAAACATAAGCAGCATGTGTACATGTCATAGTATCAGAACATTTATGATATGAAATTATAATCTCTTTCACTCTTGGAAAAGAACTTCAAATGGTTTAGTAATTTTTTTTAGTTTCGTGAATTTCAGAGCTTAAAAACATGCTAGTGGTCATGTAGTTGAAGAGTGTCTACTTGGGCTGCTATAACAGATGATCATAACTTTATAAACAGCAGAAAGTTTCTAAACAACAAATATATATTTCTCATAGTTCTCTGGGCTAATATTAGTGGAAGTACAAAGATCAAGGCACTGACTGATTTGGACTCTTTTGAGGGCTCACACTCTGGTACATTTTTATTACTTCTCACATGATGGAACAGACCTCTCTGGGGTGTGATTAATAAGGGCACTAATCCCATTCATGAGAACTTTACCTTTATGACCTCATGAAGCCCTCATATTCCAATACCATCATCCTGGGGTTAGGATTTCAACAGATGAATTTTAGGGATGTAGCCAACGTATGTCAATTAATTGAATAGCCAATCTTTGAATATTTGCTTAAATAGTTAGTTTCAGAAAATATTATTACTGGAAGTTATCCATGGTCAATAATGAGTATTTCAAGAGCTCTCAGAGCATAGTCTGTTTTCCACTTAATTATTATATCTTTTAAAGTCTGAATAAAAATATTCATCCTGAAGCTTTATTCTAAGCACATATGAAGTATATTTAAGGATATATAATTATATTTAAAGTGCCTAGAATACAGTGAGACTCAAAAATTTTGAGTTTCTTCCCTCTTCTCAACCTTATCTTCCATAAGCATACAAATTTTATCTGAGATTGTCCAACTAAACACTAGGATTAACCTAGCCATGCTGAATGTTGGAAACATTTGGGGAGATCTTCAAATAAACCATGGAGACATTCATGATTATTCTGAGGTATAATCCTATTATAGGAAGTTTTGAAGCTCCATGGGTTAAATTTAATGGACATCCAGCTTTGAGAAGCTATGACCTAGTCCTTAGCACTCTTACATCCATCATTATGAAACAGAATGAAGCTTGTTTGGAAAAAAAGCATTTTCCTTTGTGGGAAGGGGCACTCTGTGTCAGGAAGCCATCTTTGTGCTTTCTTTTGTCACCGTGTAATGCTAAGAAGGCTTAAAAAAGCCAAACATGCTTGTTCTAAAAGCTTTCAGGTTTGTTCATATATCCTGCTTATTTTGTTTTCATTGGGAAGTGTTTCTATGGAATATGAAGGTTAAGGGTCCAATTGAGTTTTTCATTCTCTCTAAATAGATACCCTGTGGTGAACAAAACCTTTCTGCTTCAGATGCTCTGGAGATTAGTTGAGCACTTAGAACAGTTTGCAGTGTTGATCTTATTCACTCTAAATAGAAAAGACTGCTCTCACTGATATGCTACTCACAACTTTGAGAATTAATAATTTTATATATTTTTTCTGCTCAGAATATTGTGGCAACAGAAAAAAAATATAGTGTGTTCTTTTTACAAATCTTTGAAGACCATATGTAGTATATGTGGATGGTATAAAATTTAAATATACAAAATAGAGTGTTCTTTTTTCTTCTATAATCCTTTTTCTGCAAGATTTTTCAATATGTTCACATAAAACTATCTTCCTCCTAGTTTAAATCATGACCAATATATTGCTTATCTTTCTAAAAAAAATAGGTCCCTAAATTTCAATTTTGAAAAGTGATTATGAATTATGTGTTATTAGTAGATATATTTTAAGTTATATTGCAAAGGAAATTTGGCTCACATATCTTCCCACATGTGCAATCCAGACACATTTAATTGTGAAACAAGGACATTTATTTTGGAGGCCTTAAGAATATTGTTATTTTACAATAAATGCTTATGACATGGCACTTACATGATATGAATCCATGTGTCAGGAATAATTCATAACTTCTTTACATAAAATCAAACTGTTCTTTTTGGGAAGATTGCTGCCTAGTAGTTTATAGTGTATGGACACTTTACAATAAAACTTTTACATTATAGATTTTACAATAGTGTTTTATGGCTATATTAATTAGGGTAATTATTGCTAGCTACTTTACCAAACAACCTCTAACCCTCAGTGTCTTGGCACAGTAAAAGATACTTTCTTATTGACACACTCATCTATCAAGGTCAGGTGGCTCTCCTCTAAGCAGTAATGTAAGGGTGTTTAGGCCTCTCCAGGATTGAGATGTCATTATTTTCAGAAATCTTTATGGTTTCTGAGTGAGGCAAAGACAGATAATGGGTGATCATTGGGAGTTTCTAATGGCAAGAACCTATGTCATGTCTCATATGTCATTATCAAAAACTCTCTCCCATGGTGTCTCGTACTAGAAAGTATCCTCCATGTGTCCCAGAAGAAGAATTGGAATGGATATTTCCGTGTCTGTCCCAAAAGCTGTACCAAAACCCAGGTACACCTAAGGAATCATTGATGAATCCACATCTTCTATCCACTTGCATAATGAGTCAAAAAATACCTTTGAAGCCAACACACTGAGTAAAAATTGGCAGTTCTCTACCCAACACACTGATTTTCCTTAGACTACATCCTCCCAACCTGTGTTCCCTTTTCCCTGGTTTTTAATGCCCTGTTCAGAAAAGGGGCCCTTTCCAAGCTCTGTCAAATACTAGCTTTACCCCTTAATATATATATATATATATATATATATATATATATATATATATATATATATATATATATATATATATATATATATACATATAAAGTATATTCCACATGGTAGGCAATAGGAGCCAGATAGACAAAAATCCTCTGGTTTCATGGAGCTTACATTTGAGTGTAGGAAGATAGATAAAGACCAACAGTAATACATGAATATAAAAAAGCAGTTGATAAGGTGATCATTGCCATGAGGAAAAAGACAAAAGGGAAAGAAGTTGAGAAATATGGAGGTAGGGAAGAGATATTTTTAAGAATTTTTTTTAGGGAAGGCCTCACATACAAGGTGACATTGGAGAAAAGACTAGAAGAATGAAAGCAAAGATATCCAAGGAAAGACATAAGAAAACAGCAATAAAATCTGGGGCTTATTTACCAAAAATGTTAGGGGAGAAAAACGACTAGAGCAAGCATAAAAACAAAATAGAACATGAAGTCAGACAAGCAAAAGAGCACATGTGATGTAGGACCTTGAAGCTGCAGTGATGCAATCAGACTTACAGTATGTTGAGTGGGAAGCTACTGGAGAGAGGGGCCGGGGGGGGGAGCAGAGGAGTGACATGATCTTCTCTGTTTTTCTTTTTAAAAAGATCGTCTCCACTGTTGTGTTATATTTAATGGGGAAAAGGTGTAAAACAGATCACATACATAGGAGGCTGTAGAAGCAACATAGGGGATAGACAATGGTGGTTCATACCAAGTCAGAAATAAGTGAAAGCGACAAGAAGTGAGGAATTCTGGAAGTGGTGCTCACAGGTCTTGTTAATAAAATTAGTAAAGCAAAGCTTAAAGGTCACTTCATAGCTTTGGTGAACTTGTAGGATGAAATTGCCACAGGTGGAGAAGAGGCATACCATGCAAGACACACATTTTATAAAGGAGGAACTAGATTTCAGTTCTGATATGTGCAATTTGAAAAGCTTTCTAAATATCCAAGTGGAATTGTCCCATGTAGATTTGGTTAGAAGAGTCTGCAGTTCATGGGAGGAAAGATCCAGAATGGAGATACTTCATTTCTTTGTGGTCCCAGTTTCTCAGCTAAAAAATGAAGACAATAACAACACTTGTGTCATGGGATTGTGGTCACCTGACAATAGCTAATTCTCAGTAGGCTAGTAAGATACTCTTTAGTGAATTGACTTAGTTGAAATGAATCAACCTAGAATTGAATAATAAATTTAATTTAGATAAAATGTATTTGATTATATATTTTTATTTTTCTATAGCCATTTGCAATTCCATTTCCCTTTCCCGTTGGTTTATTTCAATGTGCTTGCAATGCCCTTTCTTCTTAGAAGACACAGTCTTCAAGGATATTACTTAATTATGAAGCTATATAATTTCAGGTTAAATTAAATAGTCTTCAGAATTTTAGCTGGCATAAGCAGATACCATTTTGACCATTTTAGAAATTAAGCTGCTCTGATGGAGAGTAAAAATCAATGATAAGATCTGTTATTTTGGAAGCAAATTTTATAATTTCTTCTTGCTGTCTTTCTAAGACCAATAACTCAAATGAAATAATTAATTTGCATTTATAATAATGTTTAGTGATGGGAGTCCCAAACTCATTGGATTATCCAACAAAGAGATATCTCAACATTACATTAGCTTTTCATCTTGGAAGAAATATTTGGAATAAAACCTTATTTTCCCAGACAGAGACACTGTTCCCCTCAATAATTAGAAATTCATAATATAATGTGAAAGGTATACATAAGAACTAGTAACCATCCAACCTGGGTGCTCCAGATTCTCTGTGCAGTGGAGAATAATATCATTTTGCTCCTAAGACAAAGTATAAATCTTAGAATGACCAGTTTAACATTTCTTTGAAAAAGCTATTTTTTGTATATAAGAAATTTATACTTTTCCTATTAAAATTCATAGATAATATTATTAGAAATAAGAACCTGGTTATAAAAGTGTCATAACAATGCTATATTAAGTACAGTATCTTCTAATTAATGAAATAAATACTATACATGATTTTTGCTTTTTATGAATAAATAACATAATTGCCAATACTCTAAGGATAAACTAAGAAGTACGCAATAGCATACACAAAATCACAATAAATCAAGCTAAATGAATATTTAGAAGGATTTAAAAATTATTTTAAAGCTGGGTGTTGTGATTCTCACCTATGATACCAGTGACTCAGGAGGCTGAGGCAGGAGGGTCACAAGTTTGAGGCTGGCCTCAATCATTAGCATTTAATGAGACTCTCAACAACTTATGAAACCTACCTCAAAATAACAAATAAAAAACACTGGGTATGTAGCTCAGTGTCAAAATTCCCCTGAGTTCAATGCCCAGTACCAAAGGGAAAAAAATAAATCATTTCAGCTAGTGTAATATTTAAGGAAGGAAATATGATTTCACAGTGGAAGATTTTCAAGACACAAAGCTGAAGATATGAAGAGCTAAGAAAAGGAAAATGAAAAATTTGCTGATACTTGAACTTTTAAGTTTTTCATTTCCGATATTTAATTTAAAAAGCGTTTCTGAAAAATTATCTATTCCACTACTTCTCAAATTTCCATGATATATTGCCAACTCTAGTACCATAAAGCATTTTCAATCTGTATGCTGAACATTGGTTATTACTTATTAAAATTAATACATTGGAAGATTATAATATATTAGTTGTAACTCATTAGCTAACTCATGAAACGAATAGCCAGAATTGGTTGTCAGGCAGAATGTTAATTGCATTTAATAAATGTTAGCTTAACCCTTTGACTATTGCTAAATGTGCCACATACTTGGGTAAAGGCAATCATATGTTGCATATGATATGGCATATAGTTCTTAATTTCCCAAGGGTGATGTTTCCTATGGAGATTGGCAGGCTGGCTTTTGTTCTTTTATTAGCACAGCTGCTAGAATTTCTAGTGATCTTATTATTTTATTTTTTTGCCATAGTATTTCTACTTTGAAAAGGGAAGGATGAAAATGAATTATGACCCTTAAGTTGCCCTTTAACCTTGAATGTTAGCGCCAGTGTGCAATTGAAAACACTTTCCATGTTTAACAGTTGGATGAATCCAGTCAATTTGATTTCAATGATGCTGTGGTAGAAGACAGCAGAGAGACCAATAATATGCATTTTACATATCAATAATTGACTTTTATTTTTCTCTGTTTTTTTTTTTATTTTGTTTGTTTTTATTTTTTGCATGGGTGATACTTGTATGAGGGCAAGAGTTTTTTTTTTTTTTTCCAACTTGAACTAAAACCTGTATTTTTTCATTAAATTTTAGTCCATTCTAAACATTATTCAAAATTTTTAGATCTTCCACCACCACCAGATCCCCCACCAGGTCAGGGTTTAAGGCAGCAAATAGGCCCGAGCCAGCATGCTGGTCATGTGGAAAACTCAACAGAGAGAAAAGGAAGCTCTCTAGAGAGACAACAAGCCTCCAGCTTAGAAGACACAAAGAGCTCCTTGGATTGTCCAGCCAAAACCTCCCTAGAGTGGCAACGACAAACCCAGGAATGGATAAGCTCCACAGAACGCCAAGAAGACATATGGAAAGCCCCACACAAACAAGGGGTTGGATCAGGTGTGTTCTGCACAGTCCCAAGCAAGTGTGGGCTGTGACCCTTTTATTTTCTACCAGGTATTCTAGAAATGGCAGTTGTTTAAGGGCATCCGAGAGATATTTGCCTTAAGTCAGTAAGTGAAGTTGGAATTTCTCAAGCAGAGCTCACAGGCACGTTCCTTGAGACTGATTACAGTGGTGATTGCTCCTCAAATTAACCTCTCCATAGGTCTTTGAATCCAAGAGATCTCCAGCCTTCATCTACAGTCTCAGGAGACAATTTTGGCTTTTTTGCCTTTTACTGTTTCTATTGAGTAGCTTTAAGACCACTAAATTTCAGCTTTTGTGTCAGTTTAATCTCTACCTTCAAGGAGATTGTCATTTTGACAGAAGTAACCAGTCACTTGAAAGGAGAGCTCCTGTCAGTCAATTAGATGAATTAATTGAGATTATAAATTTACAAGTAAATGCCCAACCACAGACCTCATGTTGGAAAAGGTTAACTGATTAAATGTAGATGACTGTTCACATGGGGACAAGAAATGCTCTTGTTTACAAATCACACTTCCTGGAAATGTTAGAACATAAATTTCATGGTTTCCGATTGGACATTAATTAGGGGTGGGGCTATTGCATTTTTTGGAATATCTTGCATCAGGATTTACTGAGTATTAATAAACATAGACACATGCACACAACTTTTGAAACATATTCCTTATTCATTTGGACTCAATCTTTATTAGACAAGTCCTCTCCCCATGCATTTCTGTAACTACATTTTGTTACAACACTGTGCTCAAGTTTTTGAAAAATTCAATTTGTGCAAGGGCCAGAAGATGACAATTTCAATATCTAGATTTACTGAAATGTTTAGGAATGGTTGACCATTCAAGCTGTGAGAGAAAAATTATGTGATCCCTGTCATTAAAGACTATCTAAGGCAAGAAACAGTAAATTCAGCCAACATTTTTTCATCATCTAATCACTTGTTAATGGCCAATACCTCAAAAGAAAGAAAGAAATAGAGTTAGTTGGGGTGGAAAGGAAGATGTGGAGAGATGAAAGGAAAGAGCTAGAGAAAGACAGGAAGAGAGAGGTAAGAAATAGAGGAGGAAAGAAGAATGAAGGAAGGATGCAAAATATTAAATAATTATTCATAATATATTTGATCAGTTATTTGCAGGGAGACAATATATAAAAATGAATATTATCACATTTGTTAAAATTGGGTGGGTTTCTCTTTTTCTTTTAATGAAATTCCTAGCCTTTCAATTAATATATTTGTGTCCCAAGCAACAACAGAAATTTAAGAAGCTTATTTAATTAGCTAATACATAATTTTTTATCTAAATTGATTGAGGAAAATATTGCTGTGGTTTAAAGTAAAACAAAACCACATTCCTTCTGTTTTGATAGGAATATTGAAGCCTCATTGAACTCTAGAAATTATTTGAAGATATGCTTTTTTTTTGAAACAAAGTAGTTCACTGTAAGCTGCTCTCTTTTATAATGAATTTAAGTTTTGCAAATAATATACAACATTGTATACTTATCCCAAGATCTCTTTTAATTTAATCCTGCTTCAGTTCCTATTGTAAGAAATGTTGCTTGCACATGGAAATTCCTTTAATATCCGGTCTTGATTAAACCTCCTAATTTTAATTTTACTAAAGAACGAAACAGTAAAATGGTCCATTCTGAGCTTAACTTGTAAGAGTTAAATTTGTGTCATTTTCCTGGGCTTCAGTTCAATTTAGCCCTGTATGTTTTGTTTTTTTTTTTCTTTTTCAGAGGAGGCCTTGGTGCCCTATAGCAAGCCCAGTTTCCCATCTCCAGGTGGCCACAGCTCATCAGGAACAGCTTCTTCTAAAGGATCCACTGGACCCAGGAAACCGGAGGTGTTGAGGGGAGGCCACCAGCGCAATGCCAGTGACCTTCTTGACATAGGATATATGGGCTCAAATAGTCAAGGACAGTTTACAGGTGAATTATGTAAGTGTTTTAGGTCACTGAAAAGGCTATCATAGCCAAGCATAGTGTGGCAGAGCTGTAATCCCTATGACATAGGAGGCTGAGGTAGGAGAATTCCAAGTTTGAAGCCAGGATCAGCAATTTAGTGAAACCATCAGCTACTCAACAGGACCCTGTCTCGAAAAATAAAAGCCCTGGGGATATAGTTCAATGGTAGCTCATCCCTGAGTTCAATCCCCAGTACCAAAATAATAAAAATAATGGTTTATTGTGATTCAGAAAGAATATTAGATTAATAATATTTTCATATTAAACAAATTTAAGAATGATAGAAAACTTTCCCTGTTACAGGAAAAAAATATCAATGATTTTTGAACAAGTTTGGTCATAACATAGATGATTGCTATTTACAGCAGGTCAATGACATAAATATTTCATGTATATTTCAAGTTGATTTATGCCAAGTAAGAACTACTTTAAACATGGTGGTGTATACCTGTAATTCTAGCTACCAGAGGCTGAGGCAGGAGGATCACAAGCTTGAGGACAACCTCGGCAACTTAGTAAGACCCTGTTTCAAAATAAAATATAACAAAGGCTGGGGATGTAGCTCAGGATAGAGCACCTTTGGTTCAAACCCCAGTACCAAAAAACAACCATAAAACAACAAAAAATTTTTTCAGTGTGGGCAATTAGTCTCAACACTTACAAGTTAAATTAAATGTAGTTCACTGGGTACTTTTCTTGCTCTTTTAAACTCAACACAATAAAAAAGGGAAAAATTCTGGCCCTTGGGTACTTTAAAGAGTCTTCTTAGGAGTTCCTCCTACTCTTCATTTATTTGCTCTTCATTCATTTTTTTTTTAATTTATGGAGTCAGTCTTAAAAAAATTTGATCTTTGGTTTGAGTTAGTTCACAATATTTTGATTATAATGATATAGCTATTGATTAAGTTTATCTTTTTGAATGAAGAACTGGCATTGGTTTTCATATTTCCTAAATATAAAAATATGAGGTAATGGTGAAAAATAGGGATGTCACAGTACGTCCAATTAAAAACATTGAATTTGTGTTAATTTTATCAGGAAATTTACCAACTCCCTATTCCCTATCAGAATGATGCCTGCTTAACATTGTCAACTGCTTCTTTGAATTCAACTTAACCAAGGCTGTTAAGAGAACAGCCATGGCTTCTAATGTTCTCAACCACTTGCCTGATTATGGCTCATGAGAAGACAAAGCTACTTTTCTGATCTCTTGAATTCCTCATGGAAAAATAGTTTATGATCACCATTATGCTCACATCACAGGCTGGAGGAGCTCATGAGATGATGAAAAGGGAAAATAGTTTCAAACTTGTTGTTTATGGATCTGAGTTATCATGATTGGCTATTATCAATCTGATCAGTATTAAGATTTATTTATAATTTTTCATTTGGCCCATGGGTACTTGAAATTTTGTTTAAATTTTATATTGAAATAATCGTAGGTGTGCAAGGAGTGAAAAAAAAATAGCTCTAGTTGAATTTTAAATCTCCAGATTCTACAGTGTTTTTATTTTCCTTGTTTCTCTGGTTCAACGAAAATGAATTGCACAATCTCACCAAGATCTTTCTGATGACTTCATCTTCATTTACTATCCAGTTGCTCTGATTTTGATTATGCGGGTCGGGATAGAAGAATGCATCATTTAACTCTTGAGCTTTATTCCTGACTTTTGTTTCCATCTCTTTTTAGAGTAACTGAGAGGAGACATACAAAGCTGCTCTGAAAGGACCATCAGGTCCCAACTCATGGACGTGATGACACTAAACAGTGCAATGAACAATTTCTTTTATTTATGTACTATTAAAAGAACTGTAAATGCAATGTAAAGACACACAGCCACACATATCCCACAGATATTTTACTTGTGTTCTTCTCTTAAGTACACCACCCACCTTAACTCTTTCTTGTCAGGAGTATATAAAAAAAAAGAAAGAAAACAAAACTTGCCCTCCAGGAAGAAAAGGATTTTCCTCTGTATATAATTTCTTTTGTGCATTGCTATGCAAGCTCACTCTTTTTAGCTCTGTTCCTATTATTGTCTGTTCTTATTGGTCTGTTGTACTATATGTGAATTAATAGGCTGTGGTGCCATATATTAACTTTTAATTGTGTAACTTTTATGTTTAAATTTTGCACTGCAATTTTATTTGGTGATAAGCACAAATCTCTACTCCTCATGACATGAAGAAAAGATTGAATGTGAAGGGGGTTTCTGTACTGTAAGCTAGGTTGGATAATGCTGGTGTAACCCATCCTGTTAGATGGTTTTCAGTTGGGGTGTAGAAATAGGAAGATGCAAAGGAACAATGGTGTTGGCAAAGTCTGAACATCAGGAATTGAGTCTGTTTTTAAGAGAAGAAAGATGGATTTTGCTATTGACAAAAGCAAGGGGTCAAAAGAAGGAATTTTAAGTCTTTAGACTGAATATGCATTAAAATATGCAGGTAGCAAAGATGTACTAAACTTTCTTTAAAAAAAGATAATTAAAGTTTTATTTAGAATCAACTTTACCTGTCATTGTAATTGACCCATCTGAGAATGGCGAGAAGCAAAAGGAAATTAAGGTGTTTCACAAGAGCTGTATTTATATTACAGCTTTTTTAAAACAGCATTTTCTGAATTACCATAATTAATCTCTCCAACTCATTAAGTCAGAATATAACATGAAGTTCCCCAAGGAAACAAACAAAATGAACTCGAGACTATCTAGCAAGTAAAGAAGCAATTTATTATTAGGACATACTCAGGCTGCTTCCAAACATGAAATCTATTGCAATATCTTGTTTTGTCTTTCTAATACATGTACAGTACACACTAGAGGATAAAACTGCATCATTTAAATTCATGATTGAAAAAAATGCAGTCTATATACAACTTTGTGTTTCATTTGCCTAAGACGTAAAGTTGATTTCACCAAACGTAGAGCCAAATTGCAAGTGCTTAAAAAGCAGTGCTCAGAGTATGTTCAGTTCACTGTCCGTAAGTTTATCGGAATAAATATTTGATGGTACATTCTCAGAAATTGGCTACCAACTAAAATCTGTTTGACCCATTTTGAATGAGTAAATTGAAAAGAAAAATTAAAAAGGAGGAAAAAAATGCATGTTTATACACTTTTTAAATAAAACCAAACCTTGTAAGTGGACATTAATAACAGTGTCCTGCCTCATTTGTTTTCATGACTTTGAGAACAAGAAGTTCCTGAACATCAGTTATGTATGCTCAAAATAAATGTGACTTTGAAATATATGTTAGCTACTGTACATGTATAGTCAATCCGTCAAGTAGAAGATAACCTTCCTGAAATTCCCACTTGTGACATTTTCCCATGTGCTACCTACACAATCTTAAATTCTAGCTCTGTCTATATTTTCTTATGTTTTTCCTATGATATATTCAGTACTTCAAAACTATTTGATGTAACAATCAGGATCAGTTCTCAAGTAGGAGACCCTTTAATAAGTCTCACACTCTGCATTATTGGCTCGGTCACCGGTTCATGTCCTGTTGTCATAGCAAAGGGATGACATAGTTCAATGGCTCCATCTTTTGAATTCCCTGAGACTGCATCAGCACAGGCAAGCCTAGAATGTGATGTTCTTTATGGGCCCCAACATCTTCTTGGTGTCGTGTGTAGTTCATCTCTTCACTGAAGAGAAAAGGAATTCTGAGACACACTTATTAAACACTTTATCAACTTTCTACCATCAGTGCCTGGATTTTCATGCAGTTTGATTTCTCTGGGATAAAGAGACTGGGAGAGGAGAAAAAGCTTCTGCAAAAAAATGAATACATAATTATTCACAACTCCAAGATGTGAGGAATTTATTTTTTATTTGTGAAGTTCCTTAATTCACCTCCTTTATTTCAAAACAAATATCTAAGAAGTTATATTCATTTATGTTTCATCTTTTTGCTCCTCAATCACTGAATTTAGTCTAAAATTTTATCACATAGATTATACAGATTCTTGACTCCTGGTAACTGGCATTTGTAGGCAATTAGTAAACAAGACTTAAAAAAATATGTCTTTATGTAGATGACATGTAGAATAATTGGAACATAGCATCACACCTTCCTGATTGTCTAGAGTACACAAAAAATTAACAGGTAATGCAATACAAACCCTGTGGTTACTTGGAATGTTATTTTAGAATAATCCATGTTGCCCATTAAACCTAGTTTTAAATACATTGGTCCAACAAATCTTCCACCCAATATGGTCATCCTTTTATAGAGAGCAAAATAACATGCTATGGCTATATAAATTCAGGAACACTCTTAAAAATCAGAAATCTTCATCAACATGATACATGTATAAAGCTACCAGTCAGTATAAGCCAGAATGTCAACAGAATAACACAAATCTAAAAGAGAACCTTTGTAGATTTTCATTGTGTAGCTGATTGAATGAATGTGATTAGAAATTCACTGAGCTCACTCGGCTAACCAGAGCCTACATAAGCCATCAGAAGGAAACGTGGGTGGGAGAAAATGTAACTTACCTTGCACTTACAGGCAACACTGCTGTGAAGTCACAACAGACACAAGTACTGCTTCATTTATAACGGGTAAAGTCTCTTTGGAGAAAATAACCATGTCAGTGCCCAAACTCAGGTATGCCAGTGTATGCCGGGGAGTCAACCCACCCTCCTCTAAATCTTTTCCATGCCATTTTTTTAAAAGTTAGGATAGTACAGGGGCATGAAAATAATTGATCCCTTCAGAGGATTTGCATCCAATTCAAGAGAGAATATAAGAAAACGAGGACCAACATGTTAAGTTATCATACAACCAAAGGGAAGTAAAACCATTGCAAGTTTACTTGCTTTGAATAGCAGATTTAATGGTGTTCTATGTCATAGTTTAATGCTCTAGGTATTTAAATATATTTTCAATTGAATTTGAGTTGAAAGTTTGTATGTGCTTTGGTGGAACACTTCCTAATTTCTACTCAATAAAAATATGTAACTGTCCATTGACAATAAAACAATAATGATGCCAATGAGCTCCAAACGGTGGATTATCTCTACTGGAAAGCAATTGTGTGTCAGTATTAAAGATATGCAGAACCATATTATTCACTAATGTTAGTTTTTTCATCTGCTTCTGTATATTGTGTTTATAGAGTTACATGACAAGAATTGGTGTAAAGCTACATGTCTTTCCACATTATCTTAGAGGTGAAGTTACTTTTATTTTCCTTCTTTATAATGTGTACTTCAAATGAAGCACCATGCATTTCTTTAAATGACATGCAATTTACTAATTCTTTTTAATTCCATAATTTTAAAAGCATTTATTGTGACTTTAAAAGTGTTGCAAGATAAGGGATTCTGTGGCCGTGGGTAGACTTTTTATACTTTGTTTTATAGATGCATTTTTTTTAAAACTGTAGTTTGTTTAAGTCACCAAACAGCGTCCAAAATCTTAATGTGTTTCATTTGATGTTAGATTGGCAAAGAAATTGGCATAAAATTGGTTAATAGTATTGTCAAACAATTGTGTATTGTGTACTCACTGGGAAAAAATAAAATATATTCACATTTCAAATTTGTAAAAAAGCCATTTAATGTAAAACAAACTTGCTTGTAGACAAACCAAAAAATAGACTATTTTGTCACTTTTAGGTAGGTCTTCACATTAATATTTTGTAGCAAAATGAATAATCTTGTCTTCTAATTCAGGTACGGGATGAAAAGTGAGAGCTAGGAATTGGCATTGACCTATAAAAATCATTAAAATACAATGATTGAGACCATGACCTGTAGTTGAAATTTCACAGCTCATTCTATCAGCATTGTTTTCCAGATCTGAAGCCTCCACCACACCATAATGACCTTTAGATAGTTAAAATTACCACAAATGTTTCTCAACAGAATTATTTTAATGAATTAATTTTAAGTGTAAGTAAATATGAGAATTACAAGCAAGTACATAGTTCTTAATTGCTTTAGAATAGTTAATTATAATTGTTTGAGATGTTGGATATTGAACAATTACCTCAGGGACAGACGGGTACAAAAGAATAATATTCTATCTTATTGTACTTCATAAATACTTCATCATTCTTCATGGTAAACTATAACTGTAGGATATAATTCTCCAAAAGTAGTTTCTGAGTTTTTGAAAATAATTATCTCAGTAACTGTAAAAAGCAAATGGTAAAAGAGAAAAGATGCATTCATTCATTTAAAAATAGCTTTAAAAACACGTGGTAAATGGACAATACATTTTAGAGATCTATTTAACTTAGATGCATCATAAAATGCTCTTAGAGTAATTACAAATAATGTTGCATTAATATAATATAGTGGTGATACATACTATGTGGGGGTTAAAGATGAAACCTATCCGTTATCAATATGATGAAAAACAGACCAATTACAAAACAAACATTGCTTTATTGAATTTTGTTGTATTGTAGAAACACCTACACATGGCAAAAATACAAAATTATCACAAAGGTTATTTTAAAAAGCGCACTATTTTATCTTGATTACTGTAGATATTAGCTTAGGAAAATATATATTTTAATATTGCAGAAAATCATTTATATAAAAATATTATTTAGAATCTTTAATTTGTGAAAATGAATTCTCTCTCTCCCATGGAAAGCAGCAGAGGTCAAGCTAAACTTCACTCTATAACAGAAATGCGAAATGAAATTATGCAATGAAAGAAAACCAAGTTATACGAGTATAAAGGGAAAGGTATATAAAAAGGCTAGCTGGTGACAGACAACATGTTATCCCAAGCTCTTTTTTATCTGTATGAATTCAATGCAGTCTCATAGACAGAAGAGTAGGAATTTGATACCTGGAAGTGTCACAAACCTGTCCAGAGTCACAGAAACAGGGGCAAACATATCCTATGGCTATGTGTTTAATTTACAAAGAATTAGAAATATGGCATGTCTTTGCATTTTCTAGTCAACACTTTCCTTTTGCAGTAGTCAAAACTACAAGGGAGGGGAGATATATATATATCTCACCTATATTTATATATATATAAATATAGGTGTATATATATATATATATATATACACCTATATTTATATATATATATATATATATATATATATACATATAAATTCACATCCAAGATATCTGACTAGATATAACCAAGATATGTGAATATCTGAATATATATCTATGTTTATAATATTATATGCATGTCTTTAGGTATATATGTGTGTGTATCTCAGATATCTTAACCAAAGAAAGCTACATTTTCACATCAGATACTGTGACCTTATACTAAAATCAATATCCCTTGCAGGTCACTATAACTGCCTTTAGACTATAGTACCATAGTACTCTTTCCAAAAAAAAATAATACCTGGACAGATACAGGCTTTATAGCACACATTTTTTTTAACAATTTTCAGACAATATTTTTCTAGACCTATTTTTCAATAATTTGTTTCTGTCAAATATAGTTCTTGTTTTTATTCTTTTTTCAAGCAAGCACTGAGACACAGTGTTTAGAATTAAATATTCAGAGTGCTTTAAAAGGAAATAATTCTTGTCTTGAGAAATAGATTAATATCTTTTATTAAATATTGCCCTGATTTTTAAGAAAGTATTGTTTTGAGTAATGTTTTTATGTTAATGGGAAAGACCCAAAAAACAAAGCTTTCAAATACATTTCCATACAATAAATTCTGTGTTAGCATCATTCGTATCTCAAACTCCCATCAAATTACCCTTGTTCTAGTCTTTCTCAAAATAGTATGTGGGATATTAAAAGTTATTTTAAAAACTAAGAAGAGGCTAAAGAACTGGAAGCTCTAGGTTTGAATATATAAACAGTTTTCTACACTGCCTGACTTATTTACACATCTGTCCAAATCTTATGTGACATAAAACCCTTTGTCCTGGGACACCTCCTGGGATTAATACTCTTCCAGAATCTGTAGTACCTATTCTGCCTTTAGACTCTTTAGTGACGCCAAAGGTTTCATGCCATACCTTGCTGCATATTTTTTTAACCAATTTAACTCATGGGAAAGAATCATGCAAATCTCAGGAACTCTGTGAATGTGATGAGAAAAGTGAGTTATTGAATCATTAAATTATGTTTCAAGAACTTAATTGAGATCAGTACAGTGCGCTTTCTCAACAGGTATGAGTGCATCATGTTCCTCAGCATTTCCACAATTCTGTGCTCTGAACACTTGAAATAATTAGGCTAAAACTAAAGCATAAAAATAGACTCATTATCTTTCCCCACCCCCAGTTCATATCTCCTACCTCCCACAAAAGAATAATTATTTATTTTTTAAGACTATTGCTTGATTATCACTAGGCTCTACATTAAGTGGAGTTTTGCTAAAATTAATAATGGATAACACGAAATTTAAGGGAAAAAGACTTATCTCAGTAGGATAATAATAGAATTAAGTCCCAGTAGAATTTGAAATATAGCTAACTAGAAACTACAAAAATCAGAATACTCAGAAATTGCTAAATATAGATGCTCAGAAGTGAAAGTGAAGGGTTACCATTATACAAACTTTCACTGGCAGTGAGTACAAAGATGCTAATATTATCATAGAAATGAAAGTGGAATAGAGAATATAAAGATTTAAATTTGTTTGATTAATTTTGAATGATGGTAGATTGGTGCAATCAATAAATTTAAATATCCTAACAGGGTGATTTAAAAACAATTACCAATGGGTAATGGTTCTACTAAAAGATGAAATAGGCAAATGGAAACAGCCTGGGTGGTGAGGGGGAAGACACATAAGGCTAATATTCAACTTAAGAAAAAGGAGTAATATTTTCAATAAATATGCAACCCTTTCTCATGCAAGTAACCATTTACCAATAATTAAATTAATCAGTAATAGAGATGTTATTTTTTAAACGTATAAGAGAAATCCTTATATATGCATGGCAACAAAGTATTAAAGAAATAAGTGTGTTCAATATCAGCTAACTCCTACTAAAACTATTTGAATATTATATTACAAGTTAAAAATTGGGCTGGGAATATAACTAAGGCTTGCCTAGTGTGCATGAAGCCCTGGGTTCAATTCCAACACTGGAAAAAAAAAAAAACATTAAAATCTATGATGAAGATAAGAACTGCTTTTCTCAATGAAGCTCAAGTAGAAAGATAGTTTGGATTTCCTTTGATAAATTCCCAAGTAAAAGATTATAATGCTTACAATGTAATAGGTAGTCAATAAATGTATTAGAGCACACACATATAATATAAAAATAATTTTCAATCATTAGAATCTAAAATAGATGTATATACTAATGGGTAAGGGAAAAGGGCACCTTACAAAAACTTTGAGTATCCAGAAAGGCATCTCATATTAAATAATGCTTCAAATAATCTCAATTTCTACTTGATAAAGGATACATTTATATATATACATATATATATATATATATATATATATATATATATACACACATATGTATATATACACACACTATATATATACACACATACATACACTCAGGTACACAAGTATTTTCATACTGCATATCATTTATTTCATACACATACATGTTGCAACTTATGAAGGAAGGGATATTTCGTTTGGTCAAATGCTTTTTTGGAGTGAATGAACATGTGCCATACTGTGCATGGCACAGGGTAGTGGGGAGAAGATTGAGATATAGTAAGATCTCATTATAACTTAGTTGGGGAGATAAAAGGCATAGAATGAATATTCTACTGGAAGGAGAAAATTAAACAAGTGATATAACTTGACTAATGTCAGAGAAATAAATCTGGACCATCAACAGTCGGAGAAAGAATGGTATGGCAGCCAGTGGGCAGTAAGGGTTTTGGTAATCAGAAACCAGTGGAAGCAGAATGCAGGCTGGCCTTGAAAAGAAAGAACTGAAGAGCACTCAGAAAGAAGGGAAGAAGCAAACACAGCTCAGTCCCTAACCTATAGGAAACTTGGTCTGATGAGGAAATTGGTTATCTGAGCCAACATTTGACTTTGGTGGAATCTAACATATGATAAAAACACAATATGATACTTCAATGGAGTAAGGAATAGGGGCACCTAACTCAGACTCTAGGAGGCAAGCCAGATTCCAGGCTGAATAATGCTGACGAGTCTCCATTTCTTCCAGACAGAAGATTTAATGAGCACTTCATTTTCCCTGTGCAAACACACTGATACATAATATAGCACAGCATAGTATACATAGAATAAATATAGAATAGCAAATGGCAAAGGAAATAAAGTACTCAATGGTACAGAATGTTTAAAAAACAAAAGTGGAATATAGTGCGGCAATGTAGTGGATTAAACGGCACATGGAATAAAATTCCCCCAAATTCAACTAATATCTGGAATTATTAGTGAAACCTAAAGTAAAACAGATGAAAGGTTAGTATGCCTGCTCCATATGCTTCCTTTTCCACATGGAGAGAAATGGTTTTGCTCCTCTAGGGGGATTTATGCTTTTGCAAGTGAGAAGGGTCAATTATCCTTTCAAATTCTATGTATTCCAGCTTTCTAGGTATGCAGGAAGAGTCAAAATTAAGAATGCTAGGTAATCCTAAATCTGCAA